AACACTTTTTTTTCCTTCAGTTTTTCATGTCAAAGAGTGTATCTGTATATTCTGACTAGAAAGTAGCTTTTTTTTTTTTTTTTTTTTTTTTTTCCAGTCCAAAAATCTGTTCCTAGTATTTTCTTTTGTCTGGAACAAAAACATATTAATCTCATGGCAACAACTCACTGCATTACCACAGTGTTACCTCAGCCTTTGTTGCCACAAGAAGCAACTCCCATAAAGCTAAAATAACACATTACTGTATTTTCTCTGTGTAAACAAATCTGCAAATGTTTAACACCGATACTAAATGCTAAATACAAGTACTGCTTGCACCTTCATTTGAGATGGGCAGCTTGCAATTAAGTACAAGAATGAGCAGTAAGAGAATCTGATGAAGCTCAGTTTTAAAATAAATTTTAAGATGGATTAGAAGGATCCTTAAAAACCTAGTTGACTTCAAGTGTAGTTAACTCCCATTCTAAATTTTGCTTCTCTATTTAGACAGCAACCCATCTCAACGTTAATCTGTGATTTACTTATAATAGAGCATTGTTATTAATCACACAAGAGGGCTTTTCACATTGAAATACTCTGTGCTTCCAAGTCAGTGAAGACATCCTAAAAAACAAATAGCTACAAACTTAAAGCTTGAGTCCAGAAGTTTCCTGTACCCTTAGCTGGCCTTCTGTTTATAAAGCAACATACAAATAGCAAGAATTGCCCCTGAAGTCAAGGAAACTAAATATAGCACTAATGGGAAAGCTTATGCTTGGTTAAACTCATAGTAGAGAAAAGATGGCTACTAAAATTAGTAAAAAAAAAAAAAAAAAAAAAAAAAAGTATCTGCAGTCTATCAGCTGAAACATGAAATAAAGAGTAATAGTAACAGTGAGATACTGATAACTAGAGAATAATGGATTGAAATGTGGGACATTGCAGGATAATTCTTCATTATTTATAGAAGTTACTTCAGTTACAGGTTTCTGGGTGTAATTCACAAAATGCAGATTGGAACAGAAGTGAAAAGCAATGACAAAAAATGAAATCCTAATCCAAAGAATTGAAATAGTTTTTGTGTATCTGGGCTAATAAGTTTCAAATGCTGTTCACTGCCATCAAACATACTAAGTTTAAGATGAGAGAATAAAAGTACTATTTCCTCAGAGGAGTTCTGCTGCACTGTTCTGACCCATGGGAGCCCAGATCTCGCAGGAAGATTCTGTAAATCTGATGACAAGCAACAGAACAAGATACAAACAAAAAGACCAAGCATATGGTAGACCGTAAATCAAAGCAGTAGGGGGTCTATCATTGCAGTAGACAGGATTTACTGATTTCACCAGGAATGCTACATTAAAGTCTTCCAAATTTGCTTAGTAACACACTGCAAGTCAAAATAATCTCGAAGGACATAATGGCTGAACAGAATTGAACTCCTCCAGTGAGGCTTTCTAAGAAATAAAATACTACACTCTCCTTTACCGTGTTCTCCAAACATTGTTACCTTTTCAATAAATCAGTGCATAGCTGCTTAGATCACATCTTCTCCCATTGCGACATCGCACAGTAGATTATTTTTTTCCACCTTCTTGCTTCACAAAGAATTCTCTGGTAACATGCTTGTTTACTATTACATCAGTGTTTTATCTTAAGCAGCTCACACACCTGCAACTACTATTCAAGCCAACCTTCAGTTTTCGGTGGCTTTGATGCTTATTATGTCTGCAAACTAGATAACTATGATAGCTAATAGTGGACAGAAATACCAGAGGTCAAAGATTTGCTTTGGGTAATTGCTTAGAAATATATGACTGTTGCCAACATTATATTTTCTAGATAGCTAGTACTTTTGCAGAATAAGACTTCAAAAGATTTCTTTCTTGCACCTGCTGCTTTTGTTGGTTTGCAAGTGCCAACAGTTCTCATCACAAGATTGCAAACACTTGTACCTTTTGGCTTAGCCTGTAAATGAGCGTCAACCACTTCAGTCTTGAAAAAGCTTCTAATAGATGTTAGCTTTTCTTTTTTCTTTTCTTTTCTTTCTTTTTTTTTTTACCATTTTGAAATTCTTGGTCAGGGACTGAGCCATGGTAGCTTTGATGTAACATAGGGCTTTTTAAACTAACCATTGTTTAAAACCTAGAAAAAAAAATATTTTCAATTTTGCAAGCTTAATAAATGTATGTGTTACAAGCTATGACAAGTTCTACCAAGTAGTTTCATTTGTAGTTCAGTGGGAGTGCTTGCAAGTAGCTTTTGAAATTATTAACTCTATGAAGATTGTATATATATTTAAAAATAAAATAAAATAAAAAAGGGGGAGATTTGTCTTTTAAAGAAAATAAATTTTCTAATACAGCATACAGACTTTGGACCTTTTTTTTTTTTCTTTTTTTTTTTAGAAGTAAACCTGCATACTATTTTGAGGATTTTATAACCATTTACTAAAATTACCTTATTAGAAATTCTCTTAAAGTGTTCTTCATGTGTCATTTTCAAAGCTCATTTTCACAGGGCCATGGTAAGAGGCCCAAGTGGCCAGAGCTATACTGACTTTTCTGCTGTTCTGACACTATTGAGTTGCAGCCTCAGGAGCAACTGCAGTATTTTGTTAAAGTTGGAAAAAGCAGGACTTCTCCTCTCCTTTGTGATAATACCTGCAAAGTCTTAAAATCAGATGTTTTCTGAGCCCAGGATGACTAGCTGCTATTTTCTAAAACTAGACCTTTTTTCTTTGATAAGATTTCTTTGAATGATGTTTTGTGAAACTAATTTAGAAGAGATCTCTCAGTACTACTTGCCTGAGTTCCCCACCAAGTCTCAGATGATGAGAGAACCGAAAGAATGTCTCTTTTGATGTTTGTTTTTTTATAAATAAAGACATGATTTGTGCAATGTAGCATGTGTATTATGTAAGCTCCTGAACAAAGGAATCTCAAATCATAACAGTTTAGTCCCATTTCAGGATACAATAATAGAACTGAACATTTAAGCATAGAGAGACTGCTGGGGGTCTCTTTTTTGAAAGAAAATGAATCTTAAGCAAAGATTTGACTGTAACTAGCCAACAAAGCAGTATTCTCTGACGTTAGGCAATTCAAAGTGGTGTCAGGAGATTGCTATTATTTGTAGTGTCTGGTGTTTGGTAGAATGGCAGATTTCCATTCTGCTGTACTGGCCCACGATTAACACAAGAATGCTCTGCCAGTGGTACATCATAGATCAGCATGAACATTTTCAAGCACAAAATGTACTGGCACCATCAGATAGGCAGGAACACTGAGGAGACAAAATGCTCTGTCATTACTAGGTAGTGCTTTAGCCTTAAACATGAAAATGCAAAGAAAGGCAATTGAATAATCCTTAAAGCATACTTAAAAATGTAGTCTTTCTCTGTTTTCTCATATGGTGAAATTGCAATTCATATCCAAGAGTATTCATATCCATGGGGTATTGGAGGCTACTGGACACTAATGTAGGAAAACACAGGATATGTAGGATGTAAAATGTAGGATATAGGAAAAAAGGCATAATTTAATAAAACCCTTTTTATCACTTCGGGCTTATAGAAAACAGCACAGAAAGTATAATAGAAAAATACTGAACATATCCAAATTCCTCACAGGAAGATAAAATAGGATAATAAAATCAAGCATAAGTGATTTTAATTCTTGGCAATAGATTAAACTCTAGAAAAAATAAAGGTATATATATAATCAGAAGTGGCTTCCCTAGATCCAGCCAATGTTGTACATCCTACAGCTCTGTTAAGAGGTCAGTCCCCTCAGCCTCACTCAGATTTCCGGCAAGTATGTCAGTTCATGTGAAGTGTGATGGTATTTTACCAGATGCAAGCACCTGCCTGGCAGAAAATCAGCTTTATTTACACCAGCCACTGAGCAGAGGCTTGTGACTCTGCATTTTTGCTTCTGAAACCATAATTCACTATGATATGCTTGGTACCTAAGTGGTAAGACTGAAAGACAAACAAAAACTAGAGGCATCTGTTCAATTCCCTTTGAATTCAGCTTGGAAGAACAGTCATTTTAATCTGAAATAATTGTGTCTTTATTCTGTCCTCTCTCTATCACTCTGTTAATAGTATTGCATCTCTGCCCTAGCTCTAGCCTTCACCAGCCCATATGGTGAGACCAGTCATGGAACTGCCTGAAAAGCAGCTGGAATTATCCAGCAGCCACAACAACAACTAGTTTTCAGCAGGTAAACAGCCTGATCCAGTTCACCATATAACTACATAAATACCAGTGCTAAAACTTTTTAGAGGTATGGCAAGTTTATCATGAGTTAAAGAAGATATGGAATATAGTCTTTAGCATGTTTGTTTGTGACAGAAAGAATGTGATATTTTTCAGTTGCTTGCCAAAACTAATTCACCATTTATATATAAAATGACAAGTCCTATGACTCCTGTAATCTTTGTCTTTTATTCCAAATGGGTCAAATTAAGAATTATGATTAATTGTACCTATGCAAAGTAAGGATAAGAAAGCTTTCCTAGCTGACATGCTTTGATGAGAAAGTATTTGTAACTTACTCGTATAATTTGTCACCAAATAATGTTTATCTTCTTATCTTCTCTAATTTTTTAGAAAATTATTATAAATGCCTCTTACAAAAGTTGAATTTGAAATAACTCTCTGATGAAAGTTCCAGAAGGCTTTAAAAATACTTCTTAAAGAGATGACATAAATATTCTATAGTTTGTTTGTTTGTTTGTTAAGAAAACTAAATAACTTGGTTTTCAATTTTTCACAATTATGGATGTTTTTATAAAGTAATTTTATTGGCTATGTATCTACACTGCTTATACCAGCTCAACTTCTAATCATTCTTAAATCCACAGACACAAGGAGGAGAGGCAGGTGCTCTATGAGTTGCTTGAAAAGTGAACAGTTCCATCATAGCATAGACAAAATAAACAGGAAAACACATTCCCTTCCTTAGCACTTAATGCCTCAGTTGGTACCAGGCAAAAATGCTCTTCCAGACTGGCAGCATAAAATCAATGTTTATTTGAACATATGGGAGAAAACGTTGTTGTAAATATTTCCTTTGATTTGTCTTTCAACAGTCTGTCTTGTTTAATAAATAAGTAGTTTGATGATAGTTTCAGTTTCCATCAGTTTATTTTACTATAGAGCTAATATACCTGTTGAAATAGTATAGGTGGAAAGAAAAAAGAATCGCTTTTCTCTGGCAGTCACTACCTCTTCTTATCAACATGTGGATGAACAAATCTGAGCATTACCTATGCTGATAAAATTTGAAATATGGATCTCTAGTTTATAATCCAGAGCAATTTACATGTTGGCCTAGTCCTGATCTGAACCATGAATAACTCTGCTTTCATCCTTGCCAGTGTCTCACAGTGCTGCAGGAATACAAACATATGTAGGAAATGTCTGTTGCTTACCTTTTTGTGGTTCCCCAAAAGCAACTACAGTAATACCATAATACCAAGAGAAAGCCTGAAGTGTTGAACCCTGATCCTCTCACAGCCTTTGTGAGAAGGGCTATTAATACTACTTTGAAGTTAACCAATACCATGAGTTGTGACATTTATTCTGTGTCATAGAATAATAGAAAAACATAATTTGGAAGGCAATGCCAGAGATCATCTTTCTTCCAGTCAATCTTCTCATGAGATGACAGGTTTGAGGTAACAGCTGAGCAACTTTTGTAAATCAGGATGCCTAACCTATACCTAAGCCTATTTATGAATTTTAACTTTAGTTGGAAAAGACAGAAGATACTACTTAAATATCTGTGGTATTAGAACTCAGTGCCTAGATCAAATCATCAATAACCAATTAGAATTTTATTTCATTTTAGCATATAGCAAAGTATTAAATGCACCTGCATTTTTTTCCTCCTTTTCCTTACTGTTCTCCTTTCTCTTTTCCTTCACCCATTATTTCTGAACCATTTCCCCCATCCTGTGTCAGTACTGCATCTCATGACAAAGACATGCAGTGGCACTTGGTGTAGCATCAGCATGCACGATCAATACCTGATTTTTCTACCTATGTGTGTGTAACTAACTTGCTGTCTTCTTAATGGTATATTTAGTATGGATAAAAGAAGAACAGCAAGAATAAAACCTGGCACCCTTATTTTGAATCAGGATGTGAATTACCCATGATAGACTAATAAGTATTACGTGCCTTTCTGAATCTTCGGTTTGATGCAAGGGATAGCAAGTTAGTATAGTGGGGAATTTCTTCCTTGGTAGTCTCCTAAATTTACATGCATGGCTCACTTCCATGCAGTGCTACAAAGATGTCAGAAACATCTTGAAGAGGTGCAATTGCTAAAATAGACCTCAGAAGCTGACAGAAGATTAACATATATGTTGCTTAAAACCCACTGAACAATCCCAGTCCTCTTTCTTCCAAACAGTTTATCATGTGCATACTTATTTCAGAGATGAAGAGCCCTGCCAAAAGCACCCGGACTGAGGCTGTAAATAGAGTTATGTGTGTAGAAAGGAGGGCAACTGGACCTGTAAATAAGTGACAGAATTAAAAGAAAAATAAGTCAGATTGTCACCTAGACTGAGCTCACAATTTCAACTTCTCCAAGAAAGCCACTGTCCAACAGTATGCCCTAACAACAATTTTCTGCAGGGTTTTTGTTAATTTACTCTGTGGAATAAATTTTTATTTACTGGTAACTTTTCTCCCTTTTTAGTACTATTTTGTAGTAATTCTGGCAGTGCTGCTATCAGATGCTTCTTGTCATATAGAATTTGTGTAAAAGCTTGAAATCTAAGAAGACAAGAAAGTCTGTGATTTGAACCATTTTACCTCTAAAAATGTGGTTATGACAGTTACCTCACACCTCGTGTGAGAAGCTGGAATCTGTCCACCTGTTTGGTTAATTTCTAAACCTTGCCATTGGTACAGCAGTAATTTTGCACGGTCACAGCCTGTATCTGTTCATGGAACAGGTGCATTAGTCCAGGCTGGGGGTGGGAAGGGCTAGGAACTTTTGGGGCTGAGTGTCTGAGCAGAAGAACGGGCAATCCCTCATTTGTCCCTTGCAGTGCATACGCAGAGATTTTAGGGTAGGTCTTAACTGGCAGGACATGCACCTCCTGGCCTTAACCCACAGTTCTAAAAGGTGTCAGACCTAATATTTCTAATAGTGGCAGAGAGTGAAAGAGATGCAAAAAGTAATCTTAATGGAGGGATATGTAATATCCCCCAAGTGATAGGGAAACAGACTTTGATGCTCAACTTAGGACCAACATTAAACTATTTTTTGTCATACTCAAATTGACAGGGCCTTCATGCATCTTCCTTGTTCTTTACTTACTAATTTCAGCCAAGTTCTCTGCAGCATTCAGCTCAGCCATTCCCACCACCGTGCACCACCACAGCATGGACCAAGCTTTCTCTCTAGGGGTTCCATTGTCGCGCAGCAGACAGGAATAGAAAGCACTCGGGGCTGACTCAGCACCTGGGCGTAAGGAAAGCCTGAGGTAGCCAGTGCTACCACTGGCTGGTCAGCAGGCTTCCTGCTGCCAATCCAGAGCATTGGCATACACGATTACATTAAAACATGCCAGTGGGAACCTAACGCTAGATTTAATGACTTCAAGTGAAAATAAAGAAAGCTGTTACGTTCAGACTGTTATTGTTCATGCTGCTTTGTGAATTTATTTCTTTAAATTTTCCACTTGTGCTCCTGCCAAGAGAGATCTATTAGACAGTAAGCAGCAAGAGTAAAACTTTATCATTTTGTTTCAAACTATAAAATAATTTACATCACATATTTTACTTACTTTTGTCTTTTTTTTTTTTTTTTTTGAAACCACAAACATTCCAGCATCACACTGTAGGAATAAGAATAACAATAGAAAGCATAACCTTTTGCATAGTATTAAATGAACAGACAGAGTAAGTTCTTTATTTACAATTATTGTCTAGATAAAAAAATTCATAAAAACAGATGAATGAACATATATTAATAACCCCTAGTGGGATGGATTGCCAATGTACCACTGTATTGTTGTCCACAAATCTCATGCTGCTAAGTACAGTACGTCGAGAGCGAGCATTTATATATTGCAGGGAATTTTAACAAACTGATCATTTTGGTTTTTGATCCATTGTTCCCATCACAGAGAGGTCAAGCAATAAAAGAAAGGAATTGTGATGCACGACTTGTAGTTGAAAGGTCATAGCTATTCTGCTTTAAAAAAAAAAAAATCTATCATTTATCATATACATAAAGCACAGTCTCTGCTCACAAAAGCCCAAGTTTTCTATGCATCTCAGTTTATATATGTTTTACTATATATACACAGAATGCAGTGTTCATTTTCTTAACAGTTTTCAAGTCTGCAAATGGTACCTTAGAGAGGGGTACTCCTACAGGAAAATTAAAAAAAAAAAAAAAAAAGAAACCAAGAAAAAATATGAAGTGTTTGAAAATAAAAAGGCAAACAGTCAGTGTTAAGATGCTGAAAATAAATTGTTCCAGTATTAATAGCTTTTGAAGATGTTCAAGTCCAAAGCTAGAGGCTTCCCTGTAAATAGATAACACTTTTTTTCTTCTGAATATGATATCCCAAATAGGCCATAGAAACCCAATACATGTTATACAAAGGTTAATCACCATATTTACAAAGCGAAGAACAATCCTGACTGAGTTTCAATCACTTTGTTGCTAGGAATTAGCTAAAATAATAATGCTTTCATGCTAGCTTTTTACTGTTAAGAAACGGGTACCACTATCTGTTGAAAACAGAGTTGTATACGCCTCCCAAGACCTGTTCTGTTGGTCAGTGAAAAGTTTGGATCAGCGAACTATGAGTTTGAGCCAAAAACATTCAAGCTTCTACACAAAAGTCCGGAAGCTGGCAATTCAAGCTGATTTGAGCTTTACCTGGCTGAATAGTCTTGATGCACCCTGAAAACACTTTAGTCAGTTCAGTCTGCAGTTTGGCCATGAGTCTAATCTTGTTTTGGAGAGTTCTGGCTTGGATTAGTTCTTGTGACTGCAGAGATGCACCATGGTATTAGCCAACTTTAAGACAACCAGTAATACCTTAACAAATCAATTTATCAAGCTAGTTTGAGAGTGTTTTTCAACACATCTGGCTTAATCAATGGTGTAATTCAAAATATCTTTTGCACTGTACAATTATGGAAAAGATCATATGCTGAAAAGTCTTCAAGCAAACTTTATATTAAATACAAAAATTATTTATGAAAAATCTGTGATCCACAAAGTGCTTAGCATTCAAGTGGTTGACATAGCAATTATATAAGCTCATAAATTTTAAGTTACCAGGGCTGTTACCATCTTGAAAAATATTTTTCACCCTCTTACTGCAGGTTTTCCAAATAGCTTTCTTTGTAGAAAGCTCTAAGTAAAACAATTGTTACAGTATACCTTGTGACTACAGGAAGACAAGCTTGGTTAAAAACAAAATCACACAAAGCATATCTCAATACACAATTAATATAGCTTCAGTCAGACCTAGTAGTGCAGAAATGATAGTTTTCTTTAAAAAAAAAAAAAAATCAAAGCAACAACCTACAGTAATTTTCATCCAAAATGCCAACAGCCCATACTTTGTAAGTAGTAAGGAAATAAATGCCTAAATTACTAACTGAAAAGGATTAACACAATATATCACAATATTTTAACATTAGTTTGATCTCCATATAGACAAACCAAATATAATGTATTTTTAATCTGTTATTTATAAACTCAACTCAGTTTCACATTCTTTCTTTCCAAAATTATTTTTGGAAGCCATTGCCATGTGTTTAAAGAATGAAATAGCCTCCATTATCATCTGTTGCACCAAAACAAATTCAAGCAGTTTATCAGAGGGAAAAAAAAATAAAAAATAAAAAAGAGAGAACCTGATCATTCCTATTTTTATTTGAAACAAAGGAAGCCTGGTTTACCTCCCTGTATATAGGATCACAATGCTACATCCAATGTGTTATATTTTGGCTTCTTTTGTTATTTACTAGCAATATCTACATTACTTAACAAAAAAAAAAAAAAAAATCAGGCAGAAATCAGAACATAGTTGTAATAAAATATCCAGGGTGCAATATTACAGACGTTTTCAATGAGCTGAGCTGAGCCATTTTTATACTACTTCGGCAGGAAGTGCTTTCTTAACCCTACAAATAGTTAAGGATATTATCTACAGGCTTGTAAACAAATTACATTCTTTTTTTAGGACATAAATAAGTTAAAATAGTCAGAGCAATTTGAGCAGAAACAAGGCAACATGCCAACAAAGAAACTTTATATATATATAACTATATATATATAGATAGATATATACATATATATAATTAATTATGTATATACTTATATGTATATATCTCTATATATAGTCTCATAAATGTTTAAGTTCCTCTGTCCAACTGGTGCAAATCTACTGTGCAAGTTAAGCTTTGCAACTTCAAAAAAGTTATTTAAATTAATCTATACAATTGAGTCCATGCCACACAAGCATTTCAAAAAACTCACAGACCAGTGAATTGGATAAATAGCCTCAGAAAGAAGTCCTCTGCAGTTCCTGCTTAAGGAGGAAAAATAAAACAAAATGAAATAAAAATAAAGAGAAACAAAAAGAGAGAAAGAAGGGCCAGAAGTGTACAGTACATTCATGCAGGAGGGTATTTTTTTGTTTGTTTTGTTTTTCTGAAAGGGAACAAGAGGGGGTATGTAAATCAGCCATTCATTCTTTCCCCAAAACCATTGTGATCAACAATTCATTCACTTGTCTCAGAGTGAATAAGAGTTCAAACAGCTTTTCAGCCAGCAATGTTTTTAATATATATATTTATATATTTCGGTTGCTGTGGTTTTTATTTTATTTTACTATTTTTTTATTTTTTATTTTTTTTGCAGTGACCTTTTCAGCTAAAGTGATGTCTCCAGGCTATGTATTGGGCTTCCTGGACTAGAAGAGGTAGCTGATTTACTTGTGTCAGTTGTAAGATTTATTCCACTGTCGATAGCACTGTTGTTCTTGTTCAGCGAAGACGGTGGACTCGAGTTTTTCTTGAGAGCAGAGTCTTCTTCTAGGTCTGTGTCATCAATGAGTGGGATGTGGGGCTGGGAATCTTCTATCCTAAATTCAGGATGAGTCATAAAGTTGTGAATAGAGGTTCTAGATTCTGGTTTTTCTAAACCTTCATAGAGAGAGCTACGGAATGCCTTCACGACGCGGATCTGGGGGGAGAAAAGGAAAGAGATGTCAGAGGTAGCACCTTTAAAGAGCAACACTGTGTTAGAGAATACTTTGTGAAGAATGTAGCATATGGTTAGGGCAGTGCAGGCAGCTGAAGTCCATAGTCTCTGGATGTTATATGCATAAACGAGTGGCTCAGTTATGTGCATTTTGAATATCTGTATCAACTGCAATATTAAAATAAATCAAGTTTAAAGCCATCAAAGAACTGATGGGAAGTACTGGTTAAAGAAAGCGAACATCCACTCGTGTGGTACATCCCTAGTAAAAGACAAGCCATGTTAATTGTAATGCAAATGTAAAACCATGCATGTTGATAGTTTTGCAGTGAGTAAGTAGGAAGGCTTTTTTAATTAAAAAAGTCTCTTTTGTATTGTTAAAAAAAAAAAAACATTACACATAACATATCACACTTCACAAACAGAAAAGCACAGAACACAGACACAGTTTGATGGGTACATATGAGACACACAGGAGCCAAGGGTAAAAACTATCAGTAATATCAATGTTTTAAAGCAAAATCTAAATGAATGCAGCCAAGAGCACAAAAAGCCAAGCAGACAAAATACTAAGCATAATCATGCTACCACAGGGGGAAAAGAAAAAGAAAAAAAAAAAATCACAGTTACCACATGAACAGAGATAACTTGCACACAACAACTACACTTGGAAGCCTGGATAATGTGAACATCGTATTGTTGAACCAACTTTTATTTTTCCTTCATGCATATGTGAGGTAAACACTCGAGTATAGACCCACTGTTCTAGCCATTTAACTTTTTAATATATAGAAAACATAGTAAAATAATGTATTGATTGTTGGTTTGACTTGAATTGCATTGTTAAACAGCAAGCTCTTTCATTTTCTGTGTCTCAGTTTTAATACTATTTGTAAGGTTAGACGCTGAAAGCGACACAATTTATGCCATATATGCAGTCTTTAAACTAGGTCAGCAGACTTATGCCAGGATAAATTTAATGTTGTTAGCCACCTGACAATAAAAACACAGGTGAAAAACTACAAGGCTCAGCCCATCAGACTGTCAGCCACAGTGCAAATTGCTTTCTCAGTAGGAAATGAAAGGAGCAGAGAGAGAGGAGCATGGCAGAGTGGGGACGCTAGTGCTCTGTGGGTGAGCAAAGGTAGGGATGTTGTCTGTATCCCAGTGACCTGCTGGTTCTGAAAAGACGTGAAGGAATGTGCTATGTGTTACTACTGAAAAAACATAACTTTTTGGAAGGGAGTGAGGGGCAAAGAGGAAAAAACAGAATGGCAAAAATGTGATCTGTTGGCAAATGCTTTATGACTAAATATGAGTTCTATCCTTCTACTTCCATGTAGTTCATGAGTGAATTTTTAGCATTTCTTAAAGGGAAGACCAAAACACAGGCAGAGGCAGAAAAAGGTGCAAGCAGGCATTGTGAAAGCTTTTCCACACGCATTTGAAATGGTTGGCGGTAGGTATGTGTATCTTTTTACATGTGAATATGCTGCACATTACTGATTGGTTTAATACAGCACTAATTTGTAAAGCTTTAATTCCTCCTTGAATCAGCAGACTGTATTTTATTAATGGCATGGGGTCACCGTGTTCCAGCTGTGGGATCTAGCTGATCCAGTGGCTGGAGCTGCCTAAGCTGTACAGAATTTCAGCAGATTTGAGAAAGAGGCTGTCTTGTATTTTGATCTCTCTGCCCTTTGTCCTTGTTTGTGTTCTCTACATTTAAATATTTTTAATCTTTCAAAAATCCTGAGAGCAGAAGTCATGCCATCTTCAGATCCATGGCCCTCAGTCAGAGGCCAAATACCCTCCCTTCTCTTTAGAAATACATTTGGTAACACCAGGGCACAGTACAAAAAGCAGGTTCGTGTACTGCTTATGTTCCAAATAAGAGGACCAGAGTGGTGCAGAATGGTCTTGGCCAGATGTGGGGTACTGGAAGATATCAGGAGGCTGGCAGGCATGCAAGGCAAGAGGAGGATAAGAAGAGTAAAGAATACGTGCTACAGTCAGATGGTGCACCTAGTACCTCTATTTGACAGAGCACCTGGAATTATAAAGCAGGGCTTTATGCAGGCTGAATTGCTTTGAATTGTGTTTTGCTGTGTTATGGTTCTGTAGTGAACAGGCATATAAAAGATTCATTTGCATTACTAAAAATAGGATTTGAACTCATAGAGTAGAGTTGACATACCAATTCCCTCATTTTCTAGGCCTTTCTCTCTTGTATTTTAAAGTGCAAAGTAATTAGACTAAATAATTAAAAAAACAGCATGTTAGCCAAAGCAATCTTTAAGACATGCTACCACATTGTGCTAAGTTAAATCAGGGAATTTCTCTGTAACATGCTTACTTTAAAATATGGGCTGATACAGTGGTATTTTCTGCAAAGATCCCTATTATTTCTGCTATCTAAATAAAAATAAATCATCTTATTCAATTGCAGCTGTTCACTATATCTTATCGACTAAGTAAATACTTTATTTTGAATACAGCTACTTTTTGTTGCATAGATTTAGGTTCTGTTTGCCAGCTAGATTTTTTTTTTTTTTATAAATAAAGGTAAATTAGATTTTTGCTTAAATAGAAAAGGCTTGCAATTTCATATTATGCCTGTATAGATTCTGTAGTACCTAGTGAAAGTAAAGCTTTTTTTCAGGCCACACAAACTGCATTTAAGCCTCTACAGGCTAGCAAGGGAGGAACTTAATTTCATTTTATGAGACTCAAAGTTCTGTAGTAGAAAAAAACACCACTGAAGTCACTGAAATTCTGCTTAAGCAAGATTTCAGAAGTAGTCTCAGAAAAGGATACTGTAGCATAAGAACTGCTTTAAAGTGTTTTAAAAACTGTGCGTTGATACTGCATTTAATACCAACATTTGGAGTAAAAGTTGCATTTAATGCCAAGCTTTTAGTCAACCATAGAGGTAGCTGATTTGCATGTTACACAGCTGGGGGAAACCAATAGAACTAGGTTGTATTTGAAAACATGTTACGAGCGTTAGGTTAGAGGTTGGACTCGATGATCTTGAGGTCTCTTCCAACCTAGAAAATTCTGTGATTCTGTGTGATTCTGTGAAAACCTGCCTGCCATGACCTGAATTCAATACTCTGCTGGGACTGCTCAAACTGATGACCCACTGAAAGAAAACACTACACTAACATCTTTTGCTTGGACTAAATGTGTTTACAGAGCAATCTGAAGGTTTTTAATTGCAGAACATACAATCAGCCAGAAATCATTTCACTTTATGTAAAGATCTATGAAAAAGTTCTGGCATGGACCATTAAAGTCTTGCAGGAGCATTTAGATGCTACTGGCATAGATTCTGTTTCTTCATAGTGACTTTTACTAAAAATAAAAAATAAAATACTAGCTTAAAAAGTAGTTTAGACCTGCTGATATGTAAAGTAGCTCATCTGCTGAATACAACAGTAAAATAAGGGCCAGATCTAGACAAATACCTAAATCTCAGAGTACTTAGAGATAGCTTTCTAGTAAATTTCCTTCTCTAAGTATCTGTAGAAAACTATATTTTTTTAACATCTCCCTAAAGTTTCAGAGATTGATTTCCATCAATATTTCAATTAAGGAGAAACTCTCCATCTTTAAATTGTATTGCTTGGTATGTAGAAGAAAACATTTACTTTCAGTGTCACACCTCATTCAGTGACAGAATTCCTTCATTACAATATAATTCAAAATCTTGTTAATCTTTCCCTTAATGTATCAAATTATTGCTTACAGGAACAAAATTTGGTTCTTTCAGTATGTTAATGGAAACATAGGTAGCTGAATACAAAGGTGGTATTTTAATTTATACATAATAACACTACCCTATTTAATCAAAGAAATGAAATATGTTATTTACTGAGAGTTACATGGCCCAATAGCAACATTTTTTTTTAATGCATGCTAAAGTAAGTTCAAGGTTATATGAAGTATATCTACTGTAAAAGTTTTAGGGGCTCTGCTGAAACAAAGTGTGATTACTTTTTGAAGAGAAAGCCAATAAACTTCACAGAATGTACAGCATGTAAAAGCAGGGACATACCCATGATGGATAGAACCTAAAAGGTGTTGGTTTCTATGGACTATGTGGAGCTCATGTTGATGAGATTTCTTTATGATACTGACAATGCCAAGGGAAGACAAACAGTGTGATACAGCTCCCTTTTCTCACAGTAATGGAGACAACAGAAAAAAATGAACTGCTTTTAAACAAAAGACTGTGGGGACAACACTTCAGGACATTTTTGACATGGCTATAAGTTTCCACTTCTTTCTTCTCTGTAGCTGTAATAGAAAAAACTCTTGAGTTTCATCCCACCTTGAAAGTTAGATTTATTATACTGCATCAGGCAAGAAGAATAAAAGAATTAAAATTTTAGATACTACAAATTTGTCCATTCAGAATAAAAGATGAAGTTCAGAATCTCACTCCTAAATACAACAATATAGGCAAAATACACAAGGCCTGTTAATCATCAGCAGATGTCATATGGTTGGTAGTGTGTGGGCTTATACTCGAATGTTTACCTGGCTTCATATAAGCCAAGTATCTTGAGTTTGGTTCACATTCATTTCAGGCTCAAGGTTAAAGACTCACAACCTCTTTTTATTTCACTCTCTCCTGCTGAACCCTTTTGTCCAATGTTCTCTAGCCCTCTGGGAAAACAAACACATTTAATATTCAGACAGTAGAGAGTAGGGCACTGCAAAAGCAAATAAATTCAATACTGAAAGATCAGTAAGGTGATTAGTATAAAATTGTAAACAAGAGGTCAATTTCGCAAAGAGATGCCAACTCTTATGTGTAACTGACACTATTCTATATCAAGACTATAGGTGCACAAATGTAAAAGTTTGGTCAAATACTATTGGATACGTAAAAGCTTTGAAATAGAAGGCATATCTTCAGTGTGCTTGGTTTTGCTTATTTTTGAATCCTCCCAGTTAATAAAATCAGATTAAGTATCCACAGGAGGAGATATTGTATGCAAAGGAGTCACCTGTAAATATGACTACCATGTTCTGGATTGTATGATGAAGAAGGTGAGTAAATTCAAAAATAAATTAAAAAAAATAGAAAAATTATAATTTCTACGTTTCTGCATTAATGAGTGAAAGAGACGCATACTCTCCTTCTACATAAATATGCAATAAATCCAGGAAGTGCTACCAAAAACTCAAACCACATGTAGCAAGGGCAGAATAGAATAACTACGCAGTCTGGGATATCCTCAGGCCTGATTCTCATTTCACAAAAGTTTCACGTGACTATTATCCCACTGAACTTCAGGGCATGAGATCAGAACCATATGCAGGGCTTCCACTTTCCATAGCATTTCTCCTTTATTATAGGACTCCTGCAAATTTATAGAACCTGACATTTTTGTATCAGATTTGACAAAGCTTAAATATATTAAACACCCTTTTAAAGAAATTATTTCTATGTAAGGACAATAAACCTTGCCACGACACATCTCCAGTTGAGGACATGACTAAGACTTTAAGCCTATTTATTTTCCCTAAAGGAAAGATATGCAGAAGTCAATTTTGATCTTGCATATCCCTGTAAGTTTGGGAAATCTTTGTAATAACAAGTGAGAACTTCTAAGCTTTACTATGATATCTCTGTCTCTATCAGCTGACGTCCCTAAATGATGCAACTTTTATAAACATCATTCTAGATGCAGACTTCAAGTCACGTTTTGCTTATTCCATTTCTGCATGTGACAGTTAAACTATGTTGCTACAGAAAGCAAGTGGCAATTTCAGTAAGGCTGGTTTGCCCACTTGACTTGATCATCTGTGTTTTGAATTTAGATCAGTATGAGACGGTGATTTTGCCTTACATTTAATAAATCAGATTGTTTTTAAAAAAAATAAATAAATAAAATCCTATTTTCAGCAAAAGCTGCTGAACAGTAAATATTTTTTTCTCAATACAAGAGTATCTGATTTTCATGCAGGATAGATTACAAAAGCTAAGCCAAACTCTCTCTCTTAAATTGTTCATCAGTAAATGCATCACAATATGCACTAGAATCAAGATTGCTACTAGAATCAAGTTCCGTGCTACAGTTTCCGACATAATTTGCAGATGCTCATGCCCTTGTGCCACTCTGAGGCAAGTGTTACAGATATAAGTATTCTACCTAAAATGATGGCTTCTTGGCGAGTCTGATAAATTTCAGCTATTTATGAGTTAAAGTGGCAATGAAAAAACTTCTTTTTACCTGAGAGTTAGCCCCAATTTTGAAGAAAATGCTAGACCCCAAAAAAAGTGAAACTGAACAAAAATACAGGCTTAATTAGGCTATGTTCTTCTTTTGCTGAAAAACACTTAAAAAATTAAAAAAAAAAAAAAAAAAAAAAACAAACTTCAGAGATCTGTATGATGGAAATATACTGAGAATATTTTGTGATCATTTGGTATGACATTAATTTGCTGCTAGAAACGCTAGAGTCATCACCCTGCATTTTTTCCTGTGCCATCTTTAGAAGTGGCTTGTTTGAGGCCACTGCTGCTAGCATTAATAAAACAAAAATTTTGATTGAGTAAAATATTCACTTCTAAAAATCTCAGACCAAAATGACAGACCTCAACAGAACAAAGAAAAAGGAACCTGCAAATTCAAAAGCTGCAGCAGACTGACGATCTGGAAGATTATTTTTTGGTGGGGCTTCATAGAAATCACAGAATAGTTTGGGTTGGAAGGGACCCTAAAGCCCACCCAGTTCCAACCCCCTGCCAAGGGCAGGGACAGCTGCCCCAGCCCCATCCAGCCTGGCCTTGGGCAGCCACAGCTCCCCTGGGCAGCCTGGGCAAGGGCCTCACCAATTATTTTTCAATATTTTTTTTTCCCCTAAATATTTCCTACACTTAAAAATATTTTTGATTTTTAACTTTTTATGAAAGAAAGAGTTGTTTTGTGGGGTTTTGTTTGTTTTTAAGAGACCTGTGTTTTCTGACTGCTTCCACTTAAGAACGTTATTAACTATATATTCTGTGAGAATGGGGGAAGGAGGAACATCAAAGAATATTAAACGTGCATCTTTCTTGGAAAATTTTAAACTGCATTCTCTTGAAGGGGCCACCTACTGAAAATATAAACAACATTTGAGAACTAGATATAAACAGATTAGGATAAAGAACAACTTGTTTACTTTGTGTACAGTTAGATCCTCTACCTAACTATTATTACCAACTAATGCTGACTTCTAGAAATATGTAGTTTGTTGATGGCAAAACCACTATGACAGCTAAACAATTTCAGCATAACTAGGGAAACTTCAGTACTACAGTAAATATTTCCTTGTATAAATTACTTTTCATTAAGGTTTGCAACCCTCTTAATGATTTGAATGTGCCATTCTGATGAATACCTGAAAAATTCAGGTAACATCTTCCTAATCTGTTTCACCAACCATTGTAGATGAGACAGCATTTTACAGGCAGCTTTTCCATTAAGTAGTTACTAAACTTATGTGTGGCTATTAATAATTAATAAAATTTAAAAATACTTTGATGTCTCTGAATCAAACATTAATCTGCTCCAAAATAATAGAAAAACTACAGGATTTTGTTTCCAAAAAATGACATGTGATAGCTACATATGCAATATTTTAAAAAATCCTGAAGAGAGGGAAAGGCTTAAAAACCAGAGATACAGTTATCCCATTATTTCTCCCACCCCACAGAAAAATGTAATAATTTAGGGTTTCATTCATTGTGAGCAGCCAAGAGAAAAGCAGTCAGTCCTGTCCCACTACATATATTTTAAGCAAGGAGCCAAAAAGTAGAGCTAGGTGTTCATTTTAGCAACTGAAATTTTCTCAGAAAATGCCAATTTATTAAAACACACCCTATTTCTATGATATTTGGATTTGGAAAGGTTTTCCAGGTACTAGAAGAGGAGTAATTTGGAGATAAACAACTTTTTTTTTTTTCCCCCGCTGTCATTCATAGGGTTTGTGTCATAATATTAATAAACCAAAGCATAGTGGCTGCAGCTCAATGCCTTTCCTTCTCTTGATCATGATGCTGCCTTGCATTGTTGATGTTGTTGGAGTAAAAGTTAGCAAGCCAAATTTCCACCGAGACAAAGATAAAAATTTTCTCTGAGAGAAAACAGACAAAGTCTAAACCCTTAATGGATCTTTGGCTTCTTAGCAAAAGTAAAGTTTCTCCTTTGACATTTAATTCCAACAAAAATTCTAATGTATGTCAGAAATTTCTTTATTCTTGATTTTCAAATACTGAAGGGGTTGCACTTGAACTGAAGGGAAAGGTCAAGCTTCCTTTTTTCATCCAGCAGTTCTGGAATGTTATTTCCTCTCTTGTCTGCCTTTTTCCTTGTGTGCTTTCCCTCTCTAGCTGGCTTGTCTCGCCAGCTTTTCACTTAAAATTTGCATCAGGTAACTACTGCATGAGTCTGTAAAGTGTGGGACAGGCTTGTAAAAGTGACTTTATAAAGTTAAATATTCTTTTAATGCTAAACAAGGTTAGAAATATGAGTCTTACTTGGCAAATGAAGACATTTTACTGTCAGTAAAACAGCCCTTTCAAAAATTTCATTATCTTCATTAACTTCACTAGATGCTTCACTTATACCTAAAATAAAGCTCTTTCAAGATTTCAGTGTTTAGAAACTTTTTCAAAAATAAGGTTTTTGCCTTATTTATTTTGTTGCATCAACACTGTCCACTAACCAGTTTAGCTCCCTCCTTACTTAATGTTTACCTCCAACTAGATTTAGAGATAACAGTTCTTTTCGTTCATCATTCATGTAAACAATACATAGCCTTGCATCATAAACTAGATTCTCTATTTCTTTATTACTGTATCCGTCCCAATTAGAGTACATTTTCCTTGGCTGTGAGTGACCTGTATTATACAGTCTTCCAGAAAGAATGATCTTTTATCTGACAAGCTGTTTTCTTTTCTTTTTTTTCTCTTACTACAAGATTTTCACAAAACTATTTAAAATACATATTTTGTAAGCAGAAGAAAAATATATACAATGACATCAGGAAAACATAACACAGAAACCTCAAATAAAGTCTCCATAACTGGATAAAAAATGTCTACAAATTCCTGCTCTAACAATACCTAACGTAACCTGCAATAAATGATGGAGAGCATCTACTGTACACAAAGTAATCCAGTTTTGTGTAGCTGGGTAATAAACTAATAAACATAACAGGACAAAGTGGGAAAGGGCAAAGTAGCTCAGTCTCAAATGACTGCTACATAAGTTGGCATCTCTGTAGGTCTGATGCATTAAGAATACACACTCACGCCCAGCCGCAGCAGCAGATGTGCTGGTAGGAGAGGAAAGAGCATTGGATAACGATACGTGACTAGGGCTAGAAATATTGGTTACATCCTGGGTCTGGCTTGTGACGGAGGACTGTCTCCTTAGAGCCCCCTGAAAGGAAGTGCCACTCTTGAAAGTATTGACTACTTCGATCTGCAATGGAGGAAAGAATGAGACAAGTTGCTTAAAGTATGGATACAGTTGCAAAACTGACAGGAATAATAATGAAAAACAATAAATCAACCGTGCACACAGTTTTACTTCAACTGAAATAAATACTTTTTTTTTTTTTAAGTGTTCTTTTTATAATATTTTTAGATATGAATTTTTCTGCCTGGATTAAATGAAACAGCTCCATAGCAGAGACAGTGGAGCTGCATCAGTTTAAACAACGAGAAGATTTGAAATAAAAATCTTAAAAATTTAAACCATTTTATTTATATGTAAATAAACTAAATACAACTGGCATACTTGAAATAGCTAGCTTCCACTTTTTTCCTACTGAGAATAAAATTACTTTGCTATTGCTCTTTACGTGTTCTTCCAGAGGGTAGAAAATTCATTTACTTAATAGGAACAACAACAAAAGCCTATAAAAATATTCCAAATAAGAATCCATTTTGTCTACAAAAAACAGGGTTGTCAGCTTGATAAAATAGAAAGTGTTCTGATATTTTATCTGACTTTTTCTTTAATGAAAGTTTTTTGTAAATTTAACAGTAATAATGAACGCTAGTCTATTACAATTATAGATTAAAATATTACTATTTTATCTTTATACAGTGCTTAAAATTACACAGAAAATGATGTTGAACTGAATTGAATATTGCAGTTTTCTTACTTTACTATTTTCAATTTCTTATTTCCATATGCATATTGCACTCAGTGTTACATGTATCTGTGATGAATACCTTCCTGAGTACTTTTAGTCCTTAACTGAGAAGATGAGTTAAAAAAAATGGAGTAAGTATTTCAAGACTGTCTGTGCCACCAGTATAACCTAATAAAAAGCAGACCCTATGTATCAAATGTATGTAAAATAAGAGACTGGCAGATAGGAGCAAAGAATAAATATATGCTAAAATCCATACACACCAAAACATCCTTTGTTCCATTAGTGCCACCACAACATAACAAAACAGTATGAGAACCCACTAGAAGAATTCACCCAACCACTTATTTGAAGAAACCCACTGTTCCCAAATTTGTATCTTGCAACCCAGATTTCTGAAGAGACACAGCCTAGAAAGTAGTTGGGAAAAGGTTAAGTGGTATATTTATCAACTTCAACAGCACAAACCATGGTACAAGCCCTCATAAATTCTCCAAGTTGAAAACATCATAATAACTTTGCTAACATTTTCTACTGCGGTCAGTCCTAGGAATAAATAAATTAATATGGCTTCGTATCTAGTGATATGGATGCATCCCCTCCCATTATCTTAGTCTTCAGAGTTCATTCTTTATTTTCCTGCAGGTTTTTTTGAAAATTACCATATCAAGATCCCAGGAAAAGGGATCATAGGTTACTGCTGTACAATCATCTGACTGTACATTTACTAGATAAACATGAAACAGCTTTGTTCACTGACCCATTGTTTTCCAATGAGAGCCCGGAATACAACATGCATTTCACGTGCATCCTGATAGCTACAGTATTAAGCAGTCATGACAACATTTTCCAGCTTTGCTCTGTTCCTGCAGCAAACTTATTTTGACCTACATGTCCAATACAAATATCACAGTTAAAAAATACAATATGGGGTGGGTTAGCATCTGGAATGAGGGTACAAGTGAATCATTGGCATCTAGATAACAACATATGGTTCAAACCATTGGTTATATATGAAGGCATGTTAAATACTCACCTGAAATGTTCACTGTACAAAAGTAGAATTAGATAAAGATCCTGGGTTTTCATGATCTGATATAGGTGACAGAGCACTCTTCAAAAGAGAACATTCAAGAAAGATTTTAAAGACTCTCACTGAGAGCATGAAGTGCACTGTGGAAGACACAGATGATAAATCCTAAGCCAAAGGACATTTTTAGATGTATAAATGCCTTTCTAATTAACTGAAAGGAAAAGACCCTAGTATAAGCATGAATGAAAAGACAAGGGAAGATCTGTATTTAATAGTTTCTCCAGAGAACAAGAATTACAGGTGTGTAATTTACTCTTTCTCATGAAAAAAAATATAACTACAGATCTTCATTGAGTGAATCTACAGGGGGATGATGACAACCTTTTCAGAATCTTAAAGGCTGAACATACAGGGCTGTGTTCTGCCTAAAGCCAAGGAAGAAGAAGAGGAGAACTTGGCCCAGGAGTTTATCTTCCAAAATCAGAAAACAAAGAAGAAAGAGTTCATCCAAATAAATAAGTAAACAATGCATTTTAAAATAGGATGCTTTTGTAATTACAGAAGACTGAATTTATTTAGAATAATTCAAGCTGCTAAAAATGAGAAGGTAAAGGCTAAGTCACACATCATAAAAAGTTAGAAAATTTTCTAACAAAACAAAGAATGTAATCATGTTTTGATTGCATGCCTTTAGGTAGAAGAAAAAAATGCTGTTCTATATTTTTCACCTCTCTTATCTTTCTTTATGTCCTATAATTTATAAGATCTATATTTTAAACAAATGTATATACAGTTAATTGAAATATCAGTGATTAGCAGTTTAAAAAAAAAAGGGGGGGTTGGGGCTGGATCTTAACAGAATAGTCCTGACAGGACAGATATGCCAAAACTTTTTTATGACTCTTGACATATAACAGAATTTCCACAAGCATTTCTGTTGTCATTAATGTCAACAGGATCCAGGTATCATTCACCTTATCTCCAACAAATATTTATTTTATTTTTTGAAGAACGATAACAATTTTGCTTTGTTCAATCTCTGGAAGTTTGCTTTAGTATTAGTAAAGCAAACTCAACTTTAATCTGCATGAAATAACAGTTTCCATTCTACTTACTTTGCTCCCCTGAAATGTTTTCTGCATAATGCTAAACAGCAGAATGGGAGAAAAAACAAAAACAAACAAACAAACAAACAAAAATAAAAAAGAGGTGCTATATTTTTTCTTTTTATCTAACAAAAAAAAAAACTTGCTGGGATTGACTTTCATTGCTATGGCATTTGCATTTGTTCAAGAACAAAGTTTTAATGCAGAGAGGAAGAGGAAGAAAATGTAATACAGCACCTCTGTATTTTTTGACTGTCTAAACAGGCATCTTCCTTTTTTCATTAGCAGTCCCTAGACATTTGAATTTCTGAAAATTTTAAATGCATTTCTGTGCATCTCTGTAGCAATTAACATGGCACCTGTGTATTTTCATTTATGTATTGCTTTTATTCTAATACTTTTTCTAATATTTAGAGAATTTTTACGTATTTTTTCCCACCTTAAGCAGATAAAACAAACTTTGAATTACAGGATGATAGGGAGGGAGGAAAGAGTCAGACCCTGTGTTGTAAAAAGTAAGATATGTATCTTGAAAAGTTTTAGAACCTCCGCTCTTCGCAATTTTTCCATACTCAAATATAAGGTAACTACATAAACTTTTTGGTAATCAGTTTGAAAAGATGCAATGGATTTGTGGAACTTTTCAAAGATAATTAGATCTGCCCAGATGGTATGATCAGTCTTAACTCTCCCACTCCTTCAGAATAAGGAATTCTTGAGAACTGCAGCAAAGACTTGGAAAACAGTGCTGATAACTAGCAGAGATTAAAAAGCCCTGTCTTCTATGAAATTTAAGAGCTTTATATCCTTATGAAGCTTGCATAACTAGGATGAGTCAGTTGTGAAAGCTATTCTGACAAAGCTGTCTATTAAGTAGCCTACTCTTCCATCCGAGAGAAGGACAGTATGCATTCATGCAGAGACAGCACAAGGTATATTTATAAGACAACAAGATATCTAAATGATATCTAAATGAACAAAAGTAGACCAAAAAAAAAAAATCAGAAATATATAGCCAATCTCTATAACTCAGTTATGTTTGTTTTTCATGCACCTTTCTTTAAAGTAAATTCTGCATGTAGAGTGTAAAATAGAAATGCCTGATGTTTCAGTATAAAGAGTCAACAATGGAAATTCTTTCTCTGGTTGCCTAGGTTTGAAACCTTTGTTTTGAGAGTAAAGAAACAAAGAAAGAAGAAAAAAGAAAAAGAAAAAAAGAGTCTTTACTACTGCAAAGCTTTTGCCAGTTTGGATGAGGTTTTACTGGAACAATACAAAGGAGATCTGTCAATTATCTGGACATAGAGGAAAAAACAAAAAAGAAAAAAAAAAGCTACTGTAGATTCTTTATAACTTTCCTAGGAGTTAAGGCTTTTGTTGAATGCTGTAGCTATCTGTCCAGTAATGACTGAATAGCAAATAACCAAAAATAAACATGATCTAATATACAGCACAAGTGTGTGATGGTAGAAACCAGTCTTGCTGAGATCAGAATGATCAATCAAGTCATCAGTCTATTGTTTATTCCTAATCTTAACTGACATCCTCTTACATATATAAAGTGAGGGGATGCTCTACCTTCTTCTTCCGCATCTCCAGGAGTGCATTAGGCATCAGAGGATTCTTGCAAATCCTCCAGCTCCCCAAGGATGCTACAGACATCCTCATCTTCTTCCATCAACTCTTCTTTAGATGGCTTCCTGAGAAATGTAGTACAAGTGTATGAATTCATTTGGATGGGCCACAACACATAGCACATCAAAATGCGCTCAAGGTCCATCCAACAATTGGTCTAATTTGACCTGCATATAAGTTCATCACTCTCCAGTGGATATCTTGTAGCTGCTTTTGGAACTCTTTTTGAGTGTGTTGGCCCATTTTCTTTTTTCCATTAGCATTCCACAGATGTGAAATGGATGTAAAAATCAACATAATTGAACAAAAAAAAAATGAGGAAAAAAATCACAGAGCCTCTTGGCAGAAGGGGAAACAGTGCATCCTACCAAAGATATTTCTACAACTAAGAGCAGAATGGAAACTGAGAAGATGGATGTTAGCAAAGAAATGTAATTAATTTCATTTTGTTTTAAATAGTGTAAAAGAATAATAATTTGTTTGTGAATTAAGTGGACAAAGATATGCAGAAGAGCTAAAAACTACCTCTCAGACTAGAAAAAGAATTGAAAGGATGTAATTTTTTTTTTGTGTGCTTGTAGTTCTTTGCACTCACCACAACCAGAAAGACATCCTGACAGAAATGCCAACAGACAATACTCCTCCTACAGCCAATCAGGAAGAAAAGAATGCACATTTAGAGGTCATCTTTCCATAATGTTTACCATTACCTGGGCACCTGTTTGTCACCTTTTAAACTGAGAGGAACTGTGACAATTTGAAATTTCTCTACTGATGAGTGCTCCTGACTCAAGACAGGAGTCAAGACGTACAACCCTGAAGATCCATGTTTAATCACTTACCTCAGAAGCTTGGGAATTTACCCAAAGACTCTCTCTAACACCCTAATCTCTAATTTCACCCTCTTGCCTTTCTCACTTTCCTGTGATGCACCAAGTAGACCTAACTATCCTAGCTTCAGTTTACTGCTTTCCCCCATTTTTCTAAAATATATGACTGCAGTTTTTCTCCAGGGTGGGAAAAAAAAAAAAAGTATCAATTTGTAGATGGAAAAAGAGAAAATACCATCTATCTCTAGTTAAGACAAAAATCTCAAACTCAAAATCTTCTGTAATAAAAGTTACTTAAAGGAACAATTCTTTAAAGAAAAAATGTTTTCTTAATTATTCACCTCTTTTTCTTGTAAGCAAATGTAAAACGTTGAGAATGTAAAATATTCACAGAACCACATGATATCATGGGGAATATGTATCTTTCAAAGTTGGTCTCTTCTGCAAGCTAGCACAAATCTTAGAAAGACTAAAGCGCTATCAAACAAACTACTTGACTGCAATGAAAAAGGCATAACAGTTGAAATATTTTTTTTTAGCACTACAGGACAAATTTTACCAAAGAGCCTAAACTGCACTAAATTTAGCACTGTGACTCTGTACAAGTATTTAGTATAGTATTTATCTGAATCCCTTCATTTTGCTTTAAAAATGTCATGGATTTTTGTATTTAGGAAAAGTTATAAGAAAAAAAAAAATTAAGAAATCATTCATAGTAGCCAACACATACATTTCAGCATCCAATAGATGCTTGAGCCCTTGCTACTTAAGATAAATTGAGAATCAGATTTTTCATGACCTTGCAAGAAAGAAAATTAATTCCTTTTAACCATGATCTACGTATGCGATACTGTCAGAACAGAAAAGATTATTATTTTTTTTCAAATCAACTGGTGCTTTACTCTTTAGACCCAACAATAAGTTACTCTGTCATGGCATGAGTGAGAACAGCATATTTTTGACAAAATAAAATGGCATGTTTTAGAAGGCCTTTATAACATTTTGCTAGCCATTGTGACAGCTATCATTTTCCAGGTAGCGCTATTTTATCAGCTGTTATCACTGAAGTAGAAAAACTATGCCCGCAGTAGTCTCAAAAAAAAAAGTATTCCTGTTTTTGCATATTATCATTTTATATTCTCCTCACTTCCACTATACACATACTTCTTAAAGTTTGCCTATTTTACTATTCCACAGGTTGCTCCTTTGAAATCAGTAAAGCAATTTCCAAGTACCATCATTCTGACACATAACCATCTCTGTAGTTTTCTATAACGTTATCTTGCCTTGATCACAGATTAAATATATTATTTCTAGACCGTGGGGGCATTTACTTTTAACATACCTGGGTTTGGATTCTGTTGAGGCCTCTGAACCAGAGAATTTGTCCACGTCGAAGTTCTCTCTCTGCATGATCAATTTCTTCGACATCTTCATTGAGTTCTTCTTCAGGGACCTCCTCCTTCTCAGTAAGCCGCCCTGCCTCCTTTAAAAACTTTAGCCTACTTGTTGGGATGGTTGCAATGACCTAAAATTATAAAAAGATGCTGAAAACATAAACCTCGTTCAATAACATTATAAGCTACTAATTACAAAAGAACTCTGATATTTTAATGAGTTAATGAGTTCTCTAGTCTTTCAGAAAAGCTACTATAAGCATATTCATAATAGCACTTTGTATTTATCCAACTCCATTTTAGCCGCCCAAAACACCTTATTTACTGTTACAATCACCATTACTGGCATTGTTAAACCACATTGGCAATACATGGCTATGGAACAAGTTTAAAGCTAGAAAGCAGTGATGTCCTTCCTCAAAATAAATAAAATAAATAAATAAATAAATAAATAAATAAATAAATAAATAAATAAAGGGGGATATAAGTATTTGAATGTTATTATATAAAAGAAATTTAACAAGATTGATACTTTTGCAATTAGTGTTTGGGGATTTCTAATGATTGAAAGTGGTCTAATGTCCATTAATGTGAGCTGAAAATGAGTTGCATTGCATGCTTATAAATCTCTGCACACTAAATTTGCTCATGTAATCAGCTTTCCTTTATTTATTTTGTCAAATCAAAATGGCTTTCTCAGCATTTAACAGGAACAAGTTTTCTAAAGGTATAGGTCTGAATATCTTCACACTGGACTTTTTGTAGAATTCTGTCTTATTCTCTGTCCTTATTCTGTTTAATTTTATATTTATATATATTAATTAAATATTCTGCTTAACTCAGCCCCTCTCCTCATTCAGTTTGGCCACTGAAGTGGTCGCTGGAATTAATTGATAGGGGAGATGGCTAATAATCTTAAAAATTTGCAAATAGTGTATTCAGACTGTGTTGAACACAATTATTTTGAATACATTTCTGTGCTGTTGTCCTGAGCACTCTCTGTTCTGATTACTTTTGTCATCTTTAATACGTATACAAGCAGATGGCTATTTAAACAAGATATTACCTGGAACATTCTGAATGTTTAAAAAATCTCCTACAAAAATAACTATTAGACCCATTTCCTAAAAAAAGTGCAGCCATTTTATTTTGTTTGTTTGTTTTTGTTTCAGCAAAAAGCAATCACATCTCTGAAGCCCAAATGCATGAAAGAAAAAAAAAAGAGGAGTCAGATGGAACAGGAAAGAATTTTGCAGATAAGAAACTACAACTATGGGACATTTGATAGCTGAGTAAAAGCTGCTGTCTGGTGGATGAAAGTCTTATCCAGTTTGTGATACTGATTTTTGCAGCCCTCTGGCATGTGATATTGCCCAGAGCACATGAGGCATAGCACAGGCTAAGCTGTTATCCTGAAAATGAGAGCATCAAAAGCACTCCAGGAAGGCAGACAGACTGCATGGATGATTTAAAATCAATTTAGAAAAAAAGACAGAGAAATAATTTTGCCAATAGACTGAAGACTTGGGTAAGGAAGAATGAGACAGTTGTAGAAAAGTTGGTGAAGATGCATCTTACAGTTTTGGAAGGTTGGAACATATATAGCAAACACATATGAAGAGGCACCGTATATTTTCAGGATGAAAAAAAAATGTTGAATTTGCCAAGGTTCTCCTTGAATTTCATGAACCACAACTCCAATTTTATTATATTATTATTAAAGATAGAATTAAATGTCCAAAACTCAGTTTCTACACTATTGTGGAACATTTTTTTAAATGTACTTTAGGGCTGAAAAACATGATGTGAGCTTGGAAAAGTAATGAATTGGTGTGACATGAGCAAAGACAGAACAGGAGGAAAAAAATAAAAGGTAAGTGCTAGTCATTGCAATACTTACTGAAACTGCTTCAGATTCCCAGCTTTCAAAAAAAAAATTAATGCCAGTACTCTACAGAAAGAAGCTACTTGAGAATGTTTATACGAAATCTGATGAACCTCATGTGGATGAAGTGCTTACAAGACAGCATATATACAAACAACCATACTTGGTAGAGATTCTGTGTGATAGAACAGAGCCCTCCTTCAGGACCTCTCTCAGACAGGCTGACAGATTCTGTCCTAATTCTTTTCTTAGCATGTTCGTATGTTTTTATGTTTGGTGATTTTTTTCCATATTTGCAAACACCAACCCAATTCAAGTAATGCCAGACTCAGTAGACTGAATGTAGCTTAAGGAACTAAATATTATTCCCAGAAAAACTACTACAATTTTCAATAGCAATCAATCATTTTGAGAATGCAACTTGACATAATTTAAAAAGACCTTGTTTTCAGAAGTGGTGGGGGCCACCTTTTAGTAACCAGTGTTCCTCAAATCATTGCAGCTTTGCTGCCCAGAAATTCCTTACACCTTATATCACTTTTAAAGGTGCCAAGTTTAACATCATTTGGTTATACTGAGTCACAAGAATGCCAGATTCAGGAGACTGTTCCAGAGCGAAGGCATATAAAAATTACGTGCTGCATAAACCTAGAATAGTAGCGAAAAGCCTGAAAAGAGGGGAAGCGCCTCTCCTGAAGGAAAAGAAGCATCTCTTACTGCAGAGCTCCTTATGGAAAGGACTCACCACAGACTGTATATCATGTAAATAAAACATTTTTACCTTGTATTTTCCTTTTATGGTCACTGAACACTGACCACAAGGGAAACTTTTTTACTCTGTTTCCTCCACATAAAACTGTAGCCTTTTCAGTGATTAATTTGCTGAGGTGTTCCAATATGAGTTTTAATTAAATGTCCAGGTGTTCATAACAAGGCTTGCAATTATGTCCACCCATTTTTGAGTTGAAAACAGCTGCTGAAACTATTCTTAATTTTCAATGGTAATGCAATCACTACATAGAACAAAATTCAGAAGCTAGCTAGTACTCTGATCAAAGGCTGTGGGAAGTTCTTCACAGCTGAACAATCTAATAAAACTCATAGGCTTTCTGTGCTTTCCTTTCCCCCCTCCCAAAGATGGCATTTTCCAGTCTGTAGAAAACAAAACTTTACTTTCCAAGAATGATCAAACTGATTTTATGTTTTTCCCTTGTAACTTCATAACTTAAATCCCATCTTCAGGTAATAACCACATTAGTACAATGTAATAATGGTGATTTTTAGGACCATTAAAACCTGTTATGGCTGTGTAAATTCTTTCAAAAAAAAAAAAAAATCTGATGTCCAACTGTCCAAAAAGCTTGTGTAGTGATTTTTTTTTCCATAAGAAAACATATAATCATTTTTGACAGCTAGCATCTACTCATTATAATTCCACTAAATCATTGCAGTATTCAATTGCAGCAGCAATTTCTTGGCTGTTTCTTCATAGCAGCAAACTCGTTGATCTTTATATCTGAGAAGTGAAACATTACTTCATATTTTTCATGTTTCCAAATATGTCAGGTGACATCAACTCGAAGATATTTAAATGCATTCAAAGATGAAGAAATAGTAGTATTATTACCTTTGCAATACAGGTTAGTACATAAAGAGTAATGTAGTACTTTAACAACAATGGTTGTATCTGTACTATTACTTCCAGACAGCTAATCACATAACTTATTTAATTATCTCATAGACACAGATTTAATTATCACATGGACACCATCTCATAGATGGTTTTTCATCTATATTTTCATATCAGCTATGATGACACAGGTTTTAGCAGAATTTATAAATTATACATGAATTAATCTGCACTTGTCTGCAACTGTATTAGGAAAAAATCCTTTTTTTCTTTCATCCCCTCCTCCATCCTTCACCTACAAAAGTAGATGGAGATCAGTTCAGGTGTATATTGAATTAACTGGACACAGCAGTTTCTGTCAGGAGTGGTTTAACACAGAACTGGAATCTCTTTCCACTTTCAAAAATTTGCCATGGCCAAACATGAACATGCTACATTGGGTACTCTATTGCTAGGAAGTTTATAGCGCATTTTTTGTGGCTAGAGGACTAGGTTATTAATCAAATGCCTTTCACACAAAACACTAACTGAAGACAACCTTTCTGACAGCACACCCTGCATATGGAGAGAAAAGATATAAAAATTAACAAAAAATTGTATCTATTTTTGATGCAATTAGACAGCTACCTACATTTCAATGTGTGCCAAATGTGACGTTTTGAGAAATTTAAAGAAACAGTAGTATAGTAGGTTATAAACAGCATTTGTGTGTGATTTGGGGTGAAAATCAATCTTTGACTGGTTTATAAAAACAATAGCAGAAATCTGCATAATCCTGGATGCTTACCTGGCCCCATACAAGTTCTCCTAATCCAATAAATACACACCACATCCACTGGTCAAGCTGCAGGGGAGAACAGCTAAATGGTTTTCCTCCAAACTGGACAATTACTATCTACAAGGAAAAGCAGAGAAGAGATTGGGTAAATACTTTCAAGAAGGGTAGATGGAGGGCCTTGTCATTAACATTTTACCTGAGATTTTATCCTTTACAGCTCTGCCTCTTTGATTCCAACATATTTCACCAGTAGAATAGTCAAATATATTATTAACAATCTGTTGTGTACTGGACTGAATCTAAAGAGCATTCAAAATCAAAATGTTATCTTCTATTCCTAATATGTTATTTGACATTGTTACATGGTACCACACAAATACTTCAACCACTATGAGAGCAGGGAAGGGTGAATAACATCAGCAGCTGAGTCAGAAATGTGGTTAGCAGCTAGATGACGCTTTTTCTTCAGCCAGATAATTGAATGCAATAATGCCTAGAACTAGGAAAAAACGTTATGAAACATTTCCCATGACAAAATATTTAGAGATGATTGTGAATTTGTCAGGCCTCTCCTAGAAGCATCCTGGCTTAGGTTAGTAAACCCACCCTTTTGAACTAGCTGTCAAAGACCATTACTATCAAATTCTACCACCAAACGCTGGTGGCCTTTCTCCAGTACTTGGTTTACTTAGTGGCTCCCCTTTCTGTTTTAAACTATGGTCCAGGTTCAAATGACTCTCCTTACTCTTTTCATTAAAAAGGTCCCAATACTGATGATTTCCAGGATGTCAATGCTGAACTGAGTAATAATGTCAACCCAGAAATAGTTCAATGCATCAATTGTGCGGTCTGAAAGATAATGTCAGAGGGTGTCAGGTACTGGATAGACGCTAGCAAGTGGAAGGAGACTGGAGCAGAATGAGGAATTAGAGTTTTTATGGAAGAAAAATTACAAATGTTTGGGAAAAGTCTGTCTTTCCTTAATTATGTTCACATACGATTGGGCCAACAAACCTACAAAATGGACATGAAGAATTACTACCAAGAAGAAATACTAACAAAAACATCAAATAACTTTTGGTTATTTGCTGGCATTTGTTTGGCATTTTACCTTAAAATAGTGGATTAATATTAGCTATTTACAGGACAATTTTTCTATTCATGTAGTAAATTAATGTAAAATACTTTGCTAGTACTGATTAGTACAATATTTAATAATTTCTTCAAAAAAAATCAATAAATTATGACAGCTATAATATATCTACAGATCAGTATAAGATTTGACGTAGTGATAATTATCAAAATTTGTTGTATTAGTTTGACCACATTAACATCTTCCATTATTTACACACAGTTTTATTGTGATAGTATGTGAAAGCAGATGTTTTTTATCTGTGCCTTCTACAGCTTTTAGATTAAACATACATAGAAAAAAACAAACAACAACAAAAAAAAACATTTTATCTATTTCATACTTACTAATTCTTGCCCAAATCATTACCTGAATAGCAAATGTACCCAGTACAATAGTGCAAAAAATAGGATTTCTGAAGATTCCATCAAAGACATTTCTCTCGCCATGGATTTTGCGTGCGTTGATTTCATTGAAAAGCTGCATCATGACAAAGGTGTTGAAGATAATGGTGTAGTGCTCTGAAGGAGGAGAGTGGAGTGGTGCATTCCTCCCACTGTCAATCTTAAACATTTTCTCACCTAGTTATAAGACAAAAGTAAAGATTTCCACTAGAATACATCAAATTGGAATTTATATTTCCTTTGTTTGCTTTAGCTAGTTGTCTCCTTTGCTCTGCTTTTACCAGATGTCTTTCTGATCTTACTATCCATAGGCAGAATTCTGAAGTCTAGTAAGCAAAGACATCTGAAGTTTCTGAGCAGAACACGTGCCAAGTGATAACTGTTTTCTACTAACTCAATATACCTGCTCAAATAGTTTTCAGTAGTGCTTTTCCTTAAACCAAACAGTAACTATTGCAAGTCAATTCTTTCTGAAGTACTAAGTGCTTCAGACTCACTGAGATATGCTTGCAATTTTCTACAATAATTAAAAACAATCACACAGTTTTTAACCTATTTGCTAAACCAGTATGCCGTAACTCGTGACAAGCATTCATGGATATTAATGATAAAAACACAGGCATCTCTGATTTTAAATAGATTTGGCTGTGATCATTCTGCTAAGTCTGCCTTGAAACCACAACATGAGGATCACCATGAGTAATTGTAAAGATGAGCTAATATTTGAAAAGACACCTACACCTGATGGGCCTCATTTGTTATGCACTACGTTTACAGATAACATAGCTATTGAAAGAGGTGTTTTCTTAAAGTAAGGGTGCTGCATTCATATAAAAGAGTAAATAATGAATGAAACAAAATGGGAGTAACGGTTACCACAGTACTACTAATTTCATAACCAGAATTCTGCTAATAAAAGCAAATCAAAACGTAAATGCTTTTCTGCTATCCCACTAGCACTGTACTCAGAATTTCTGAAAAAAGAAGAAAGGTTTCCTGAGGTTTTCCCCTGACGTCATAATTCCATCAGCTAAGCTGCCAGTGAGTGTTTTGCCCTGGGATATTTGAGCAGTTCATGTTCAAGTCACTGGGAATAATGAGCATGCTTCCAAAGCAAGAATTTGGCTTACAGTCTTTTGGCAGAAAGTAGATTATGATACGACAAATATATCACTAAACCAATATGAGGTAACAAAAGTTAGATTGTGAGAGAGCAGAGATTTTTAAGCAGATTATACATCTCCAAGGAGATAACTAAGTATTGGAAAACACTCCCCTTAATACATACAAACATAAAGGAAAAAAACAAATGAAAGCAAATATCATTGTTTTACACACACAATCATTGCATCTATTTGCTTTCATTCAATAAACACACAAACACAAAAATATGAACAATACTTTCCTCAGTGTGAGTACCTATCCTTAAACCTTTTGTTATTGCACTGCATCACTTAACTGGCATAGCAGAGTATGATGCTACAAAAGATGATGAATTAGTCGATCAAAACAGAAATAATAGTCATTAATTTGTAATTTATTTATTGAAATACTGAGTTTAGAACATCATCTCACTGCAAAACTGACCTTAGAGACGAGAAAGAAAAAGGCTCTATTTCCTAGGCTTTGAGAAAATTGGTTTGGCTCTGACCTTCAAAGTATTGCATGGGTTTTCCAGAGACACAGAAAAGTAATTAAGATAGGGTCAGAAAATCCTGGTTTTCTTTTCATCACGGTTCAGTATAAAGTATTTTAAATCATAATACTCATCAAAAAGCCATTAAAATTCCCAGAAAGTTCATAGAAATTTTTGTTCCGAGATTGATATCAAATGAATTACCAAGACCTTCTATGCCTGTTTTAGAGAATCTGAACATTAGAGTTTTCTTAGGCTTGCTAGATGTCCTCACAATATACTGTAAGCTTATAATGTTATTTGTATATATGTATGTATACACAATATTAGGGACCATCTCTCTCCAAAACCTGGCAATTATTTTGTTTTAAATAGTTCCAGTGTAAACAGACCATCACCTCCTTTGAGCATTCCAAACAAACTGCCAGTTATTGGTGAGATGCAGCAAGGTTTTTAAAACAGAGCTCAAAAAACTTCTAAGATTTTCAGAACCATAGATTTACATTTACAGCTTATATGAAAGTCTGTATATAATGACAAAAAAATAAATCTGAAACACATGAAACACATGCAATTCAGCAGCAGTGACATATTGTCAAGAAAACAATACCCAACTGATAAAATTCTCAGACCTTCGGGCAAATTCACTCATTATTTTGGAGCATTAGAAAACTATTATTAGCCTTGCACTTCCCTGCAACAAATAACATTTCTCCTCCTTCCCTTCTCTCTCAAAAACACAAAATATAAAAAGCATCCATTGCTAGCAAGAGCTAAAAAAAAAAAAAAAAAAAAAAGTCCAGAAGTACCAGGATAGAAATAAGAAATTGGATTTTTTAGGATTTGGATTTTTTTGAGAGGAGCAGACTAGAGAGTCTGTTTAAAATGTAGTCTAATGTAGTCATTTATGTTTTAACATATCTTCAGTGGTATGTTTTAACACACTCTTTTGCCTAAGCCCAAATCTATGTTTTGCTAGGAGAATAAAATCTCAAAGGCCCTTCCCAATGTGAAGAATGTATGAGAAGTGACTAAATCCCTCTATTGTGTCTCTTCTGTTACCACCAATGTTCTTGATTCCTTTAAGCAGTTTGCTCCTACTATTTCTTTAACTATGGATATGTGCATTAAGAAGATACATTGAAAGCATTCTGACATGCCAGCCTACATGGTCTAGGTACTTCTAAACCAAGCAACAAGCCTAACTTTCTTACCAACAAAAAGAAGTGTAAATATTAGAGTGAGCTGATAAACAGCATGGCCCAGAATATTCTTCATCATGGTACGGGATATGAGAGGTTTGTTCCTGCCATATGGCTTTCTTAGCAATAGAGCCTCTGTTGGAGGTTCAGTGGCCAGAGCAAGTGAGGCAAAGGTGTCCATAATCAGATTGACCCACAACATCTGTACAGCTTTTAGAGGAGAGTCCTGTGGAGACAAATTAGAAAGTTACTTATTTGCTAGAAAAACAATTGTTGTCAGGTCATTTACTGCGGTTTCATTTCTCACAAGTGCTGGAGACAGGATACTGAAATACATGGACTTTGGTCTGACCTACTACGACTGTTCTTATATTGCCTATACAAGATCAGAATCACAGGTAACAGTGATCTTAGCAAAGATTTCTCTCGAGTCATTTCAATCAAGAACATTTACAATCAGACAATATTTCTAAAGTATAACTTTAACACTTTATAACACATTTCAAAATCCTGGCTGTTAGTATGTGCATAATGCTTGAATTGGTAACTGAATTTAAGTAATTACACGTAACACAAGGTTTCTTTCCTGAAAGAAAAGTTGTACGAAGCAATTTTAAAAGCAATGATTCATTAATTATGTATTACTTATCTGTTCTTGGAAACAGCTTGAAATTATTAAAAAATGATGAAACAATTATTAAAACAATTTAATGTTTTACTTAAGACCTTGTAAAAACAGTTGTGAAGAAAAAAATGCCCAATATTTGAATTTTAAAAATATTCAGAAACTCATTACAATACATCAGATTTGCAAAATTAAGCAAATCCTGACTCATTTGTTTGGTAAGATGAGAGCATATCTGAACCCATGGAACTAGAAAGAAGAAGAAAAAAGTTACTGCTCATCAGGATAAATAATTTATTTTCTGAAACAGATCACCAACCACTAGAAGGAGCTGTTTCCTCACTTAATTCGAGAAAGAGTCTATGGTCGTATTACAGAGAATTTTAGATTATGTTTAAAACATTAAAAAAAAAAAAAAAAGGAAATAAATAAAACTAACACTGACCTTAGGAGAAAATGTAGATGGTTGTTACAGTTATTATACAAATTTGATTTTTAATTCATTGAGGCAGCTATAATGATAGACTGTTGCAATTGCTTCAAGGAGCCATAACAGGAAAAATGAAATAGGTTGGTTTTTTGTTTGTGTTGTAACTGAGAACTTCCTATGACTTTAAACTGAATATAAAATAGGCAGTATTTGTAAGATCTGCTTTCTCTTTCAAATAGACCTTATTATTCTGAAAATGGAATCTCAAAAGTAATAAGATATCAGTATGACAAATTTTATAATGGGAGTCAATCTACAGGGTGAAAGTTTGAAGATCAGATCACCATTTTTATGTATTACTTTAGCATCAGGCAGTCTTGAATGAAATAAATTAATGGAACACCATACAAAATAAATCAAATCCTAGAAAACCTCTTTATGAACTGTGCCCTCTTCTTCAAGGGGTTAAATATTTATCCTAAATAAAGTATTGTCAAGTTATGAGGGCCATCATCCATTCAGTATCCCAATAACACAATATTATATTTCAACTCTCCCTTGAGTTAAGGTATTACTTCCTCTTGAAAACATTTTAACAGACTTATAATTACACACATTTTGATACATTTAAAATTAAAAAAAAAAAAAAGAAAAAAAAGAAAAGAAAAAAAAAAGTTTTTAACTTACTAACATGGATGGAGAAAAGCAACAAGCAAACTACTGTTTAAGTCTTACAAGTTGGGTACACCAGGGAAGGGAGGAAGAATAGCATTAATAGATTCTTGACCTCTTGGTCATGGGTTGCATTAACTGGGCTTATCTGGAGATTCAGTTCACTCATTTGATATGCAGCTGCAGAAAGAGGAAAAGCCTGTATCTTCAGAGGTGGAGAAAAAAACTAAAACTAGTCAGGACAAACTTTGCAACAAATATGAGACCTCATTTATTTTTATTAATACTTATGGCTAAAAAGCAAGGAGAGTACTTGTTGTAAAAGAATTTAGTTTAAACTGCCTAGACAAAAAAAAAAAAAAAAAAAAAAAGGAAAAACACATTTTCTACTGAAGAATTTTCCTTGTCATATTTTTTTCCTCCCTAGGTAATGAGTTTTCTCAAGAAACATCCCCTACTTTGAGATGTTATAGAAGATGAATTTGCTGCTTCATGTGCTGACTTCTATGTCACTAAAAACTGAATTTCTGTTATGCTTAATAAAGAGTCAAATGTTCGAGTGTCTAATCAGAGCCTGACATATTCCCAGCACAACAGAAAGTTAGATTCCTTCAGTCTCTAAATCACACAACTGTAATTGGCAGTCATCAGTTTTGGCAACAACATGTTCTCACCATTTCACACTGCCAATCACCTTGGGTGGCTATGGTACCTCTAATAATTATCTATTATTGGCAGTACTACACTGTTCAGTCAAGTGTGAAAGCTCATTCTAAGCTGAAGCCAAAACATTAAATACACATTAGTCTGGGGAGGCAGTGGAATGAAATTTCCACTGCAACTCTATCTGATTTCTGATTAGTTCGTGGAAACTGAGGAAAATACATATCAGCTAAGGTAGCCTAGTCTTCCATTACAAAGTTTATTCAGGTAAGCTGCACAAGTTGCATGCCAAGTCAGTGTTCTTTTCACTGCATTTCAACTACTGACTGAATAGCAGAAAAAAAAAATATCTTCTTTTGCCTTCCAAAAACTTTGGTGATCAAAGATGTTCAAACTGCAAGCCACCCAAAATCACCACGTATTTGTCAAACTCTTTTCCACTTGACCTTGGAATACGTTAGCATTGGCCTAGAGGTAAAAGGAAAACGTCCCTTGAATCAAGTGACGTTACACTTCATCTTGGAAATACTTAAATGTACAAATCACTAAAGGCTGAAAATAAACTACAAATCTTTTATGACATGCGGAGCCCCACAAATTTTAGAGCTTGTTACTTTTGATTTAGATGACAAGCTGTAGGGGAATAAAAAGGTATTTTCACCCTTACCTCTTTGCTTCCTCTTGTCACAGCACACATGCATACAGTCATAAAAATAAGTATTTCTGGTAGTTTATATACATAAATGAATATATATATATATGTGTGTGTATATATATATATATATGTATGTATATTCAGCCTTCACATCTGCTGCTAGATCACACTGTCTGGTAATTGTATGGAAGTGACCTCTTCAGTTCTCTTTCCATGCTTCTACGCCTTCCCAAAACAAAGCTAAATTGTAAATACTTTGATTTTGTGTTATGTTCTTTTTTTTTTTTTCAAATTTTCCAATGCTATTATTTTAAGATTTGCCAAGTACAGTTCTGCATGAAAACATTATAAACATGTAAATTACTGCCTTATACATTTAAGTATACATCATCCACATTTTTTGAACAAGGTCTGTAAAAACAATAAGTGATTCATGCAGTGTTTCATTGCTACAGTGCTTTTTAATTAACATTTAATTTTCCAAACATAATGTCCTATAGAGTCACTGTTTTCAGTTCCTAATGTCTGTTAAAACATTAAGTCTTTCTCAAAGTACAAGAATAACAATTTGAATGTAAAATGTTAAAACATGTTCTTTGTCTTATCTTTCTTTAATGCAACCTTTTTGAATAGTTACACTGCCTCAACAGTTGGAGACAGAGAAAAAAATGGCACAGAGATGGAACTGTTAGCTTTACAGTTCCAGTTAAAGATGTTTCCATTTGGCCAACAATTTTTTTTAAATCTTATATTGTACATCCCTATATTTTACTTAACAGGTCCAAATATAAGAACATGATTATTTACTTGGTACTGTATATGTTGGGTACTGGAAACAGAATGAAATTTCTGGTCTTGCAAGGGACATATGGAACTCTATGTGATGCTCAGAGATGTGCAACGACTCATTTAAAGTACAAATTCATAACTGTAGGCAGAGCTCCAAAAAAGAACCCTCACTGAATGAATCAAGGGCTGTATAATCAGATCGTATCCAGAATGAAGTTGGAATACAAGAGTTTGCAGATCATTAATCCAGTTGGGCGGGGGGAATAAAATTGATAACTAGAAAAGACAAGTGCAAACAGGCTGGTCAAGATGGCCACACCCTGACCATTTTAAAAGCATGCATTGGACTGTACACAGAGAAGGCAGAAAAGGGTAAATTAATTAGATTGACTGAAAGATAAAGTGAATTATCTTTTCATTATCTTATACATGCCATGCAAACTGCAGACATGGGCCTAGCAGAAATAACAGTGGTGAGCTCTTTGGTTGGGGATGTGTGTAGAGTCAGCACCTGTGCAGCTGCAGACTGAGTGACCCCAATTCGGCTTTTAATCAGAGTTCATAAAGTTGGGTTTTCCTGTATGGCCTAGATATCAAAGCGTTATAAAGTGTAATTATAGAGCCACAATGCAAAGTTTCATTATCAAAACTCTTGGCCTATAGGTTGAGTGGCTCTAAACTGAAGCAAGGTCCAATGTAAGCTAGATCCTTGTAAGGGGCTGCTTAGTTTTGGCAGCAGCCTCTCCAAGCTTGGCAATACGTGACAATATATCTGTAATTCCTATGCCACTTAGAACATGATTTCTGTCACCTTTACATGACTTCATGTAATGCATAGGATAGCAAATGACTGTTTGCATTGGTCCCATTTAGTCTGCATAATAAAATCTGCAATAGCCCACTCCTAATCCTTTATGATCCTGATGTAACATTGGAATGGCATTGAGGGTTGCATGCAGCATGTTAAACATGCACATTAAACAGTCATAAATTCAACATCTATTGAAACAACAAGCCAGGACAAAATAGAAATATAGTAGATAACTCTCTGCCAGCAGCACCTTGCTGAAGCAGGTAGATAAATAAATAAATATGCATTTGTTTAGTATTAAAAGAATTAAGCTAATCTGTAGTTCCCTTAAGTGGAACTTGGCAAGGTCACTGATTTTATTTATGTATTTGAGGAAGAAAAGGAAGAAAAGAAAAAAAAAAGCTGCAGATTTTTACAACCACAAATGGTCACAGGCCCTACTTAAAATTTTTCTTAAACCTCTCCACAGCACTCCTAAGGTGCTGTGGACCAAAGAAATCAACTTGTACTTGGCAATGCAACCACTGTGTGCTCCTTGGAGGTCTAGTTTTGGTAATAAGTACTCACACAGTTGGACCCTTTCATTAAAACCAAGTTGCTGTAGTTTCACTAGTCCCTCCTGCAGTGATATGACCACATGCACATACACACCAATGCAACTGCAGGATGAAGACTGAACAAAATTAAGCACTTAGTTGCAAAATTCGAGCCAAGTGTTAGAAAAATCATTCAAAGCAAAGATTTTATCTTTATGCTTCCTTTTAGCACAACCAGAAGAAACATCAAAAAGAGCTGGTAAAAGAAGCTTTGTACTCAAGGTATCCCAATGTGCTGTTTCTGAACTGCAGAACAATTTTTTTGAGAGAAGTGACATTAGAAAGCATGAAATAAATATTACTACCTAAATAGAAATGTTATCATTCTAGATTTCATAAAATCACCAAAAGTGTAGGCTGTGTAATACTAATTAACCTGAATATTAGTCATGGACTAAAATTATAATCTCTCTGTCAAAGAAAGCCAAACCTACTACCTGAAAGCAAAGCAAAATTCAGTCCAATACAGACCTTCTTTACATTCATTTTGAGGGTCACAGAAAGCTGTGTTGCTTTTTGAAAACTATGGATTTTAATTTTGTTAATTAAGAACTTAAGTGATTCATTCAAAATAATAATTTAGACCTATGTGCAGTTTTGCAGACTTATTGCCATGTGCACTTACCCTGTTGTACCCATGATTTTCAGTACGATCATGCATTTTGTACTAGAGCTATTTTCATAGCAACCAGAGGGTACAGTATGTTCCCAAGTGTAATTTTTAGTAGAGCTTATGAGCCAAACAAACATAATGCCCTTTCACTGCCTAGAATCTTTGAGTCAAAGCCTAACATAATAATGTTCATTCGTAAGGCAAGATCCTTGCTGAATGAGATAGAAATGAGAGCTGCTTGGAATTATCAGCAGTCAGGCAGTTCAGTGTAAACAGAACTACAATGGAAATAACTGTTGCCTTTTTGCTACAGTTTCAATTTTAGTTCCTTTCAGACCTTGTTCTTTGGATTTGCATTTTTACTGCCAAATTAAGGAATTGCATAAGAATCTGTTTGGGCAGAAATACAGAAATTCTAGGAGTTGTATGTTAAAACCTATAAACAGAGACAATAAACTTGACAGGCTCAGTGATGGTCTTACAGCCCATTGGGTTAGTACAAACACACTGGGCCTGATCCAAATCCTTTTAGAAGGTAATGGAATGATTCAAAGGATGAGAAAAGCTCTGGAAATAGAAAGGAGAACATGCTTCCACTGAATACACTCTACACAAGAACTTAGTATTGATTTTAAAAAGTCCTTTTATTGACTCAGAAATGTTTACCTCTTCAAGAATAAAATAGAAAAATCTTAGTTAACAGCTAGAATATATTTCCCTTAATGCTTTCACAAAGCAATTGAAAAACTGTGGATGCTAACCCCCAAAAAATCACCTTACATAAATGTGTTTAGGCAGCGATGGAATGTCTATAAAACACGGGCTCAAAAGGAAGAAGTCCCCTCAGTTCCAATTCTGGAATTCTGACCATGTTGCTATTAGCACTTTTTTGTATATTATTCTGCACCATTGATAAAATCCAGGAGGATTTACCTTCCACATTTTTAGTACTTATTCATGTAATTTCCGTTAGCAGTAAAAACTACTTCATGGTTAAACATGCTCTCAATATGCTTGGAAATATTTCCCAAGGGAAAATGAAAAGTTTCCAACTTCTGCCTCGACGTCAATAATTTTGTCCCATAGCACAGGCTCAGCTGTGACAACAAGACATCATCAAGACTTAGGAGGCAGCATGGTAGGGAACAAGCACTTAGCAGTTCACAATTTTTTACCTCTCAGAAAACAAATTAATTGTTTCACAGCACAGATAAGGCCTCTAAATGTCAGTCAAGGCTTAGGAGAAGTTTGACCTCACGGTTTTGTAAAGGTACCTGAGTTTCTGGTTTCAAGTATCAATTCCATGATTGCAATGTAAGTTTACCCTGGAGCAGAGCTAATGACTTATTCATTGTTCTGCTCAGGTGTGCATGAGGTGGAATTTACCTGCTGGAACAAGCATGTGCATCTGTATGATGCACGATACAGGGAGGCGTCAGCTCTCCCATAGTGCATCTCAACCAAAAGAGGCCTTTTGTAATAGCACCTGTCTGTAGCATTTGAAATACACATTAATTTGGGGTTGGGGGAGTAACAGCACTAAAAAGCCTGCACATTTTGCTATTTTCTAATGAAGGACAAGCCCTAGTACCCTAAATACAAACCATTAAATACATCCTGGTTTCTTGCTAGGTAAAATAAAATTTTATTCATCAAAAAGTAGTAATTTGAAGGAAAATACACAGTATGCTTTGGTAAAAGACCTAGACATGTTACACATACGTCAGGATTACAATAAGGGATTAGTGTAGAGGGGGAAAAAGAAATCAAAGTTCAACTATATGTGTTATTTAATTGGCTTATTGTTTGTACTTAAAATTAAAAGGACTTGCCTGAAAGCAACAAAATATTTATCAGTCAAAAAACTCCTCTGCTGGGATTACTTCTATTCACTGCTAACTTGAAAATCATAATCTCATTCCATAATCCATCATTAAATACATACTTAACAGTGAAATATTCTGAAAGAGAAAGGCAGAGTCACACAGACTCTTCCTTTTTCCAATCTTTGACATTTTCTTCCCTGATGCCAGAGGCTCAATCATGGCAATAATAAGTAATCAAAAACAGGGAGCTGTACAGAAGCAGAGCCAGTATTAGTTGTTCCTGAAAGTAATTTAGTTTTAGGAGAAAGTGGATTTGTACACTTTCTTTTGTCAACAGCTATTTAACACTTACCAGTTTGATCCTAAATACTTTAATTTTCAGAAGAACTTCAGAAAGCATGCTTTCTGTTGTACAAAGTAAGAAATAAATGTAAAGCATCATCACTTAAGAGGCAATGAAGCATTGGTAGGATTTGGCCCCATACTTTAAGCGATGCCTGAAGATAATCTTACCTGGGTAATGCACGCTCCAGTGAAAGCCACAATCACAGCCACAATGTTAACAGTGAGCTGGAACTGAAGGAATTTTGAGATACTATCATAGACGTTACGTCCCCACATGACAGCCTTTACAATGCTACTGAAATTGTCATCTGTTAGGATGATATCTGAGGCCTCCTTTGCAACATCTGTTCCAGCAATACCCTGGAAAAATTAATTGAGAATAAAATTACTGGGAAGTACACTGACAGTTAGAACACAAATCCCTGCATACTCAAAGTCCATAGTTACAGTAAGATTCCCCAGCACCATCACAATGACTGCTGAGTATATTCTGCATTTTATATTTGCTAGGATGATGGCTAATTGGACCTGTTTTTGAAAGTGAGTAAGGAGGCAGAAAAGGGCATTGACAGAGAACAATGGAATTCATGTGATGATACTTCTGGGTGCTTTAAATTAGCAGCTTATTGTCTAACAATCTTTTGAGTTTTTTGTTTCTTTTTTTCCTTCTTTTTTTTTTTTGGATATTATATTAATATACACGAACATAATTGCTAACAATTAGAATTACATATCTTAATATATAATCTAGTATATTAAGATATCTTAAGAGTCAAAGTATGTTGGGAAGACATCTTCACGTGTAGCAATAGTTTTTAGCAAAGTGAAATAGTATTCTGCTGTTGTGATGAACACTGAGTCCATTCTACTGTACAGGCAATATATTGCTTCATTAAGCAATTTTCTCAACACTTCATGAATGGAAAACTTCTTACAGCAGATTTACAATGACATAAACATCAATAAATACGCAGATTATACCATTGCAAAGCCAACATCAGCCTTTTTAAGTGCTGGTCCATCATTGGTTCCATCACCAGTCACAGCTACAACCTGTCTCTGTTCCACCTGGGTGCTGTCAATAATACCTGCAAAAAATGTATATACGAGTGTGTATACAGTGTGTTTATATGTTAGCAAGACAAAATTTACCTCTAAAAATAGCTATGTGTGTAATACCAACTACGTATGGTATAATATACCAACATGTTTTACAGAGATTGACAGAGTTGATTTCTAAGGAAAATAACGATGAAAGCCATGCCACCTCTATTATGTACTATTCAACATTGCTACTAGATTTTTTTATGGAAAGATCTGATCCTGCACCACCAAAACACCAATAACACTTGCATATGCATGATAGAGAATGACATTGTCTCACTATGTTCTTCTGGAAGACTTCTACTATTAAAAATTACATGTCACAGTAAAACCATTTCATACCAGCTCCCCAATTAAAATTCAATTATTTTTTTTTGTTTGTTTGGTTGGTTGTTTTTTTTTTAAGATTTAAGTTCATGCTTAAAGCTTTCTTAAACTGGGTCTTAACTATAATATCTGTTCCACTGGTTTGCCTTCTGGCAATCAGTTTAACCTAAAGATAACAAATGCCATTGATGAATTTTATTTAGTTGGAGCCAAATTAGCATTTTAACAGAGAGACATTCAACTCTGCCAAACGATGATTGAGAAGATATAAAATAATTCTTTAAATTATGGAGCAAAACATTCAAATAGTCATAATAAAATAATTTCCACTTTACTTTGTCAAATGATCTCAAAATGAAAACACTACTTTAAATGGTGAATTGAGTTTCACCAAATTAGCACAAACAAAAGTATTTTCCACTTATGCAGATAGGGAAAGTAAAGAAAAGATTAAATATTTTTTCTAAGGTCATAGAAGCGGCTCTGTATTTTAATGGGATGGGCATCGTTCTCCACTCATGTTTTTATTTCCATGTCAGAGTCCCTTTGTCGACTTAGTAGGAATACAGGATTTCTATGTAGGATATAAGAACAACTCCCTATATTAGGTAACATGAGGGGAAAATAAGAAAATTCCTTTTTTAACACACTTTGCACAAAGCTGTATCCTCTAAAAACAATTATCAAAACCTGCCCAGTGTAAAAAGCTTTCATCTACTCTGGAAAAAAAAAATAACTCCCATATCAGATAATCAGACAGAAATAGGAAATTGCAGATTACAGAGCAATAGCTGCCTCTTGGCAAAGTTTGGGCTTATCAGGCACCCAGAAGATTGCAATGCAAAAGGAAAGCAGTAACCATCCTCCTGTATTTTTCAGTCTCAAGAAAATCAGAGAGAAAAAAAAAAGCAAAAAAACAACATGCAATTCACTTTCCATTAGCGCTATGAACTCAGATAAATGGCATATTATTCTGATATGATCTTATAATTAGAGCTTTCAGTTTGTTGGGGCGACTTGTCTTTGGTATTACTAAATAAACAGGAACATCAGCTGCCATTGCTTTTAAAAACATTTATCTTGTCTTCCCTTCTTGTTATCAATATACCCTTTGATGTTAAATTAATAATTTAAGCTTCTGAAGAAATTCATTAAAACTCCGACACCTCATGCTATTAACTGCTCCAACCAGGTAGAGAACATCCTCTCACAATTAGATTCCAGATGGGAGCATAGCCCAAACGAAGCTGAAGAGAGTTTAACAAATGACCTCCTAATGGCTATAAATAGTGGACAAATGTCAATGATTCACTACCTAACTGCCTATTTTTATCCATAAAAGCAAATTACACAGCCAGGATGAGACAACCACCCTCCAGAACACAGAACTGCATAATCAGCAATCGTGGAAAGAAATAAAATGGTCTTGGTTACCATCAGCATCTCAGCCACACTCACCACTGCCAGCGTCATTAGAACTACATGAAGACGTGGGACAAAACTATATAGATGGAGGAACTTTCCTTTGAACATCAGACTAATTTCTAAAATGAAGCAGTAGCAATTATTAGGGACTCAGATTATTTACTATAGCTATTCATAGTTATACCCATGCTCCTTGACTTCATATTATTTTTAATCTGTCCTTCTTCCCTTCCCCACATTTCTAAATCACTGTCTTCTTTCCAGCACTCTACTTCCTAACTCTGCTTGCTTTTCCTTTTTTTTTTTTATTCTCTTTTGATATAATTTTGTTAATGGCTGTGGTAAGCATTCATGGTTTTACTTCAAGAGTTTTCTTCAGTATCAACTAATATGCCTATATAGATTTCACAAAAGGTGTAGGGACACCAAAGAAGGGAGGGATGCCAAGGAAGGGCTCTCCCTCTACTATGGAGAACTACTGCTTTGGTGATCAATGAAAACCTTAAATAAGTGTATGATCTGACAGACGGGCAATCAGAGAATGCCCATTTCTACTCATTCACAATAGCTAAAAAGAAATTTCCATGTTAATTTCTCATGTCTAACAGCCAGGAAAATTCTGGGAAAATAAACTGCTTTACTCCAGTCAAAGACTTGCATACACTATGTTAATCAAACAGTTTGCGAAGTACAGCAAGCAAATTCATAAAATGTGGCAAAGCCTCCTCCCAAAACCGCCTTTGCTGTTTCATTGATCTGTGCCCTCATCTCAAGCTGTTAGGCTACAACTTTTCTCTGCCAAAAGGGAACTTTGTTAAAGAGTCACAGGAATGCATGCAGAACCCAACATTACAGTATGTTCCACACACAGATTCCATTGATGCTGTAGGAATTTGGGAAGGAATCATGTAGATTCTTTAAGATATATATGTGTAAGCAACTGTTTCTGATGAAGGAAAAGATTTTTTTTTTAAAACAATCATGTATAGCCATCAAGAGGAGCACTGTATGTGTACGCTTGCTATGAAAGATAACAGCATTACATACAAAAGTGAAAGTGAAATACATCATATATCTCCTACCTTCCTCCCATCTAACATCATGCAAGCATTAAATCAAACCCTTGCAGGATAATATTATAAATAATATTAAGCAACACTGTGTCTTCCATTTCTTTTACAGGGAAAGTATCTGTACCCATGGTCAGATCAAAAACATCAACAACTGCAGCCTCGGGTTTTCCCTTTACTGTGGAACAAATGCCACTTCATTTTAACAATTCTTATTTGCATTGTCACCCTTAGAGCCACATCAGTAAAAAACTGGTTCTGGGAGAGAGAGAGGAAAAAAAAAAAAGAAAAAAGAAAAAAAAAAAAAGCTGTTTTAGGTATCTTATTCTGTCTAAAATGGTTGACTCAAAACAGGCATCCCATACACTTACACATTTATCTGTCTTTGACAAGCCAAGCATACACAGATGCAGTAATATATTTATGTAGGCATATTGTGTTCACATCAGTTTTTAATATTTCCTAACTTTTTCAAGCTCCATGTTTATGTAACAAGAATTTAGAAAATCTGACTGAAAGAGAAAATTTAAATTAATTTAAGTTAAATGCTTGCCTACTTGCAGGAATAGATCTTTAAAGATTAATATAAAAGTGTTTTATAAAACATTACAGACAGCATTGGCAATAGTTAAGAGTGCTCTGCAAAGTTTGTGATATTAGAATGCCAGAGAAGACTATGGCATAAATACAAAGATTTCTGTTCTGAGCAGGCACCAGCAATGTGAAACATAAAAGGGGAACCTTGAAAGCATCAGGACCTTCCACAAAGTTATTCCTAACACTGATGACAAAGATCTAGATAGTATTTAAAGTATAAAACTCTAGATTCACTTGTAGATTCATCCTGCTTCCTTTAAACTATTCTTATATTCATCACTTTTGGGAAATGTTGGTCAAAGCCAACTTTTTGCATTATGGAACATGTCAAATTTCTGAATATTTCTTTACATGAATTTGAATAAAAATAAATATTTAAATTTTATTTCAAATGGAAATCAAAACCAATTGCAACTTGCACAATACTGATATTTAATTTCAGAATTTCAATATTTTTTTCTATTATTCTTATTATTTTACCTAGTCTCATGGCATATCCACTATAATGATATCAGGAATATAATACCATCCCATGCAATAATATTTGAAATATTTTAGAAATTAAGGGTAATTATTAGAAAAAAAAATTTCTTCTTTAAAGTTCCCTTTCCCTTTCTGTTTTTTAATCAAGCGGCTTTCCAAGAACGTTCTTTTTAGTATCACACTAAAATAATTCCAGATGAATTTAAACATTGAAAACATAGCTTCTTTATCTTGTAAACTGAGAATTTATTTTATCCTCTCTATACCTTCTGGTAAGATGAGGATGTTGTTTTCATGAGTAGTAAGCATTTGCTTCTTATTTTAAAATAACAATCTGACAATATTGAAATATTTCAGCAATAATATCATTATAGATGACATGCATTTTTATTGTTGCATTTTGAAACAGGGTAAAAAAAAATGAAATCATACCAACAGATTTCATGAAGTCTTTAAGAAATTGTATTTCAGTTGGATTGAGATGTCTAAGTGAAATGTTTTGGTTTCACTGAAACACTTTGTGATGCTAAACCACTTTGACATTTTTTTCAATCTATTTCTACTTCAAAGACATAAATATTTGAGAGAACACTGTCTATGCAGCCTGAAATGCTGAACCATGCCTTTCTCTAGTCCCCTAGCAGTAGTAAAAAGAAAAATGTAAAAGAAAAATGATCCTTTTGCTGGGTGGGACTGTGCTGTATTAAAGACACAAAAAATGTTCCCTCCAGCAGCAGTATGTCATTAAAAATTAAATATATTTTTAAAAAAAGTTTATTTTGTGATGTGTGTTTTTACCCTAAAGCAGATAGAATACATCAAAGAATAGAAAATCCTCTTGATCCCTCAAGTGTCTGAGAAAAACATAACATTTTAACAAGAAGCCCAAAATTGGTGAACATTTAAATAGTTTCTTGTAACTTTTAATGGCCCTTGGAGTATACCATCCAAAAAAATCCATCCTGATTTCCACAGACTTGTTCTTGAACTTTGTTGGATATTTAATTGCTCTCTCTTGACCCTGCCATATCTTTAAAATATTAATTTTACCAGTTATATAAGACATTCAGTAGGAGTAAATATTTTGTATCGTCAAAGTGCTTATGATAAAGAACATCATTAAATTGTTGCTTATTTTTCTTCAGCTATTATTGATTTTATTTTCTCTGGCAAAGGTCCCATTCTCCTCTTACGGGAAAGTCCTATGTGATTCAAATAAGTACTCCCAAGGGACTTATTTAATCAACTTAATGAAACAAATTGTTGTGTGCTTCTGAAACAAATAAAACCATATTAGGCTTTACAAGTCGTGTCCTATAAGAGTTATAACACAGTGTGTTGTATACACGAAGGAAGTGCGGATATTTCAGCTGACTTTTTGCTGTTTGAATTCTGAGAAGGAGAGCAAGTAATTATGTTGCCCAAATCAATGGTCCCCAAACATTTTGATTGTGCACAGCTAATAGTAAAAAATTTTGAGCACACACCCCAATATTATGTATAGTATTTACAAATTGTGCATATGTATACTTACGTGCCAAAGTATTATAGACATTAGAAAAAATACACAAAATAGAGTTTTAAAAGGATTGGATAAATAAACTTTATTTTAAGAATGAGATTTTATTTATGAATGGTGCTAGAAATATTTTCTTCCTGCACCCCACTGGATTGTCTTGCATAACTCCTGGCATGTGTACACCCTACTTTGGAGACGACTGTTCTAAATACAGTCTCAAGAGGCTGAGTAACAGCAGTCTGTCTCCAGCTGCCTCATCTTCTGCACTATGACAGATCTTACAGGTATATTAGTTCTCCTGAATGAACCATGCTTCTTGAGTTCTTCACATACACTGGTCCCAATCCCAAAGGGCCCAACAGATCCAATTTTCAAATTCTCAAGGGAGCTTTTGCTCTAAGGTCATTTAGGCATTTTAAAAAGATTATATCCAGATCAAAAGCTTTTATAGTCAGTCATCTACGAAGTCATATCAATAAAACCTTGGCATCCAAAAGGATAAAGCTAGAAATTGTTTTCTACCTAAATCTGAATTATTTAAGCAGTCAGACAGATGGAAACATCTTTTTGTGGCCAGAAATGATGCTATCCCAGATCACAAATTTTCTGATTTAATAAACTTTTAAGCGTGAGCTTCAAGGTCAATAGAATAAAATATCATGCCAGCAAGAAGTGTCAGATACAGATCTGAAGAAGGCTTCATAAAGAATGCTGTGAATAAATCCATCTTTCATAGGAGCATTCTGTCTGCAGATGGAATGGTGAGAGAATATGGTTTGTATGGCACCGTTTTTATAGGACAAAAACAGACTCTAAAAATATAGCTGAAAATCTGAAGGAAGCCTGTTCATATCATACAACTACAAAGCCTATAGGAAAATGGAGCTCTATGCCTACATTTTACATGACATATGAAAACTGCTATTGCCACATGAAAAGTTTTTATTTTGGAATACTATTTAAATATAATTGTGGGACAACAGAAGCATAAAAACTTGAGTGATGATTGATTTACTCTAAATGAAATTGTTCTTGGTTGTTTTTTTTTCTGTTTATTTTGTTGTTAGTGGGTTTTGTTTTTGTTGTTGTTTTTTTTTTTTTTTTCATAATGAGGTATATTCAAGGAGATTAAAATCTACTCTGCCTTTTATTTATATGAAAAATTAGCCATTTCTCAATAATATTTTTCTGGCTAGCACACGCGCATTTTCCCTTCCCAGGTAGAGCCTCATTCCAGTCCAGTTAAAAAGTCCCAAGGCAAGTAAGAGATTACTTCTGCTTGCCACACAACTTACTAGTATTTCTGTTATTCCTGCCAACCAGTTTCTTGTTATTTTCCATTTGAAGGTTCAGACAGGATGCAAACACAAGAGATTTTGTTACCAAGAAAGCTTTCTTGTATTATGTATACAACAGAGATGTATAATTACAGATAACTCATATACAGTGTTAACAGTAACATTTTTACAGTACAGAAGATGCGTCAACCATATTTCAATAACCTTGGCATTAATTTACATGATTTATTAATTTACATGATGTATTACAATTTACTCACCTTTTACCAAAGTGTGTTTGTCTGTGGGAGATGACCGAGCAAGTACTCGAAGTTTTGGCCAGATTTTGTCAATTCGCTCTTGCTCAATCTGGAAAACAACAAAAACAACAATATAATGATTAGTCTGTGATGAGCAAAATGCAAAATATATAATTTCTCAAAGTATATGATGTATATATTCCATATACATATATGGAAAATATATAACTTCTCAAAGTATATAATAACAAATATGTAACTTCTCAAAGCCAATCAAACGTTTACAACTACAAATGTGTTCTTTTATTCTGCATTATAATACAAGTTCTTCACCTCATTTTGGCACTAATTATGGCAGAATTTTCTCTGTACACCAACAGCAACAAGGACATATCCATAGCATATCCTTATGCTCCCAGGATTCCATCAATCAATTCAAGGAGTAAATGACTGTGTCCAGACACAGCAGAGTTTTGTTTTTTAAAGCTGGCTTCAATAGTCCGTGTGTTAGCTCCATCTTTTATATGTGGAATTAAAAATCTTCTGAGAATAGACTAAGTTACTGAAATCATTAGAATGAGTGAATATCGCAGTACATGGATTAGATAAAGTGGTACAAAATAAAGTGGGCATAACTGGTTCTTTGTACAGACTGAATTCATGAGACTTAAACCTGCAGACTGCTGTTGTGTTCCTTCTCTTTGCTAACAAACCTGTTTTTAATGTACTTAGTTTTGATTTCTTGTATACTAGTGCTATGGTTCTAAAAACTGCTAAATAAGGCTAGCACTAAATTTATAATGGCTCTGCATGATAAGAAGTAAAGACTGGATTTTCAATTGTATTTTAGAAAAAAAAGAAAGATACTTCTAGAAAGAAATACCGATATCTCCAAGTAAAGTAGTCTTTACTGAAATAAGCATTGGTGCAGGTGAAAGAACATTTCAGTGTTCTCACTACTTGTAAACCATATTAATATGTATGGATTTACTATATGAATTACCTCTCCCTTCTCATTTCGGATCCTTCTGTTAAACTCTTTTCCTTCAAGACAAAGAAAGTCTTCTCCTGGATGAATGATTCCACATTTTATGGCAATGGCGCGTGCTGTGTTGATGTTGTCTCCAGTGACCATGCGGACCGTAATTCCAGCTCGCTGGCACTTTCTTATGGCTTCTGGGACCTTCAAAAGCAACATACATAGGAAAGAAAATATGAGATAGATACGAAATATAAATACAAGTTGGATGTTTCCAGTTAGAATATTTTTAGGCTAAGAAATTCATGAAGTAAAAAGGGAAATCATCCATATTATGGCATAGATTAAAAGCTATTTGACTTCTACAGAATTGAGGTTACACCAGAGGCAAGACAAATCTCGTAGCAAGAAGCATACAAACCATTTTTCTGATCACTTGCCTTAAGCTTCTCCTGATTTTGATACAAACAGGAGTACTCTGCATATTTTTTGACCTTTAGCAATTAAGGTACCTAATATATTCAATATATGTCAAAACTGAGATAATCAATATCCGTATATTCAAAAACAAAACAAAACAAAAAAACCTTTATATTCAATATACATGCACCGAGAACAGTTATTTTGTACAGAAAATTATCTAACATCTGATCCAAACTTTCAATAAGATTATCTAAAACTTTTTAGAATTCAGCATTATTACCCTAACTTATGCATATCAACAGGTGGCATTCCCAAATATACATGAGCTTAATATTTCAAGAATAATGTATTCCAAAACTCTAAAAATGACAAATGATTAGTTACCCTCTTTCTGCATAAAACCAACTTTTCCTGTTGCACAGTATACATACCAATGAGGGAGAATTCAGTGTCTGACAGGGTCTGTGAGATTAATGTAGAAACCAAGTTGGCATTGTATATTTGGCATCAGCTTATTTAAAAATAAAAAATCACTTTGTAATGAAAATAACCAATAAGCAAAGGGTGTGATTATGAAAAAAATTGTCATTTTTAATAATTATCAACAAATTTTAAAACAATCCCATTTAGTTTAAGAAAGGGCATAGAAAGGGATATTAGTGGCTGCAATAGCAAAGTTTTCTACTGCCAATTCAGTGCAATTTGCTGATTATGACCTCTATCAGATAAGTACACTGTAGAACTTAATGTCAATTAGAGTAGATTAATCTCATCCATTAATACAGAAAAATATCAAGAAAAGGAGACGCCATCCACAACATCACACCGATACTTTTTTGTATTGCTAGATATTTTAACTTCCTCCATAGCTGTAGCGGGCACTGCTGGGGGCAGGATGCTGAACTGATTGACAGATTGACAGCCCCTGCTCTGATCCGGCATGGGAACTGCTGGGGTCCTAATGAGTTCATGGGGCCAGAAAGGCTGGGTATCTTGGACTGAACGTCACACTAAAAATAAATTATATGCCCTTAAACTGTATTGTAGATAATGATTATTCTAATCAGTGAGTACAATTTCACACCATGTTTCTGCATCTTTATTAAAATATTTTTTCCTGAGGAAATATTTTTTTCCTCAGGAAAAAATAGTGTTATTCATTTGTATAAGATTAGAAATGTCTCCAACAGTTATAAATCAACACGGCACAAAGGGCATAATGGCTCTTCTGGTCAGCTGTGTTCTTCCCTCTTTAATAAACAAAAGGCAGTTACGAGGCATCTGCTTTCCACAGCACCTAACTAAACTAACACCTAGTTGACAAGCAGACTAGTACTTTTCTCATGACTATGAAGAAAACCGCTTCTTCCTCAAACCATACACACAGAATGCAGTTTGCAGAATGACTCTCTGGCAATAGAGATTACAGAAGCAAGAGAAAAAATAAACATTTATCTACCCATTCCCTCTTCTCTACTAATTGAAAATGTTCTTCCCATGAGATGTATCCTGGAAGCATCATCTGGACTACCTGAGCCTTTTAACAGTACAAAAAAGGGCACCTACAACCAGATCAGATCTATTACTTAAGCAAATGACTACTGAGTTACCCAGTTTCCACATTAATAATCTTGGCTACATCCCATTTGCCAGTTTGGAGTGCCCTTAGTATACACTTAACTGTAGTGACCCTCGCGCATAGGGTATGACAAATTTAGATGACTGACTGTAAATCCAGCACAGCATATGAACCATGACGGAGAAAAATAAATTACAGTGCAAACAGAAAATAAAAATAAAAATAAAAATAAAAAATCACACAAAGTGCCAGTCCTATTAAATAAGGTCATGGGAGGACAACCTAGTTTCAAATACACCTCAAACTAACTTTTAACTAGTAAAATAATTCTACCTCCCTCTTCTCTCATTTTTGGACAGCTGGTGGGTGGTATCTGATTTACACTGTGTACAATAATTACAGTTAAAATATTGTTCATATTTTTTAATGCTGTAGGGAAGAAAGTGTTGGCAGACTGAGTGGGCAGTAGAAGCAGACATTTTCCATCAGTTTTGCAGAATTTAGGTACACATTTCGATTTATTTTTTTTACTTTCTCTCTGTAAAAAAAAAAAACTTCAGATGTGTGCATGTATAAATTATGCAATGCACAAGTAACTATCAAAATCAGGTGACAAATAGGTGGAATGTAGAAATGATTTACATTCTTCCAGAAATAAAAAAATGTAGGTGTACATTGGCAAATCAGTATAAGCCAGTATAGACTCATTAAAGCCAAAGTAGAAAAGCTGTCAAAAACAACAGACAAATCTCTATAGGCATGAGATAGCATTCTGTTTGTTCTCTTCTTGTATATTTATCAAAGGAAAAAAAAAGTAAAAAAGCTTAATGGCAAGCCGGTATCTCAGTGCTTGATAAAGCCAGCTACTAACAATGAATAAGCCAGAGTCTGAATTGCATCAGCCTAAATAACCAAAGCATGCAAAATTCATGTATGTCCACTGGTTACACTCCAGTCAAAACTGGTCAGTTGCTGGATATCATTGTTGAATAATTCATCCAAATAGTATGCATGGAGGGAAAAGCAATAGCAAGAAAGTGCCCTGCAGTATAACCAGAACAGATGCAGCACTCCCATGTCTGAGACCATGCTAGCATGACACCACTGATACAGCAGGTATGTCGAATACGTGACAACCTGAACACACCAAGGGTGTGTTCTGAGCAGCTCTGAGAAACTAGGGGAGCTATAAATTTGTATGCCATTAACTCCAAAGATCATCTTAAGGAAAAAATGCAGCCTTTTCCATTATAAACATTAACACAATATAAGGGAAAATACAGGTTGTCAGGATGGTGGCACTGCATTGCTTCACTGAAATTAGCTAATCTGCCATTTATGTCCATGAATACTGAGAATATTAATAAAACAGAAGCTGTAGTAATATTTCACATTTTTATGCTTTTCCCCTGCAGAAGACACTTTGAAAATTCATAAACTCCAGTGGTGTGTCTATATTTAATTACTGTACTAATTCTTGCAAAATAAGGTCATTTATAAGAGCTCAACACCTTACTATTTGCAACAATTTAAGTGATACGTAATTCCCACTAAGTCAGATATTTCATACAGACACCATTTTCTGAAATTGCTTTTGTTATGGCTTGAAGGTTGTTTTGATCTTACCACAATGAAACAGTCAAAAGGGATATGGAGAAAAATCCCCTCAAAACAAATTTCCCCAAAACAACTGCAGATTTGTCCAACATTTGGTAGAATTCTGGTGTTAAAAGGCGTTATCTACAAGAAATTCAGTACATTATTTAGATAATTTTAGAAATAAAATGTTTTTCTTCCTTCATCTTCTTTGATCCTTTAAATAGATGTCAGACTTGACCTCTTTGTTTGTAGCAACACTATTCATTTTTACCTCAAGCTCCTATGAAATTATTCCCTATGAAATGAGAGTAGTTCTCTTAGAAAACACATGGAAGGATAGTTTGCAGCTATTTTAAATAATAACTGCAAACCCCATTGCTACCCATTCCCTCAGTCTGCCATACCATACTGTCATACGTATTATAAAGCTATTTTCAAAAAACACATTGATCAGTTTTGGAGGGAAAGAGCACTGATTCATAGCTCTATTGGTCACTGACAGTTAAAATCTGTCTGAGTTTAGATAGATAGATAGATAAATGAGCTAGAGTATTAGGAGTGGAATCCATGCAGACAGGATATTTTAAGAATATTTTTAAATATTTTTAAAGACGTGCAATGTCAGGTGTAGGGACAGATGGATTAGCAGCAAGAGACCAGCGTATGATGGATAAAGTGAATGCTGTTCATCTGATGACTGCAGAAGTAAGGGTTTTATCATAGTTTTCACCTAACCAAGACTTACTTCATATTATATATTTCTCAATACTGAAAAAAAAGGCAAAAAAAACCACTAACACTCAAAGTACAGCTATGAAACTGGTGCCTATAGTTGTAATTATATCATGCTGTTTTCCTTTATTTATTTTCTAAGTTACAGCAGAAATATATAAAGGCCTGCTTTAAAAGTTACTCAGGGAAATAGTTTTCCTTGCATGTCTAGCATAGCCACCAATTCTCAGTGGATCAAATACAAAGATTTAGATATGATTAAAAAAAAAGATCCAGCAAAAACATAAAAGGAGACAGAAGACTAAAAAAGACCAAGATTGGTACCAAGCTACTTTATGCAGAATAAGAACCCGCTCTTTCTGTACAAGGGAAACTTGAGTTATCTTTCAATAACCTTACTCCAGAGCAAATGGCAGTCATTAATCATCTACTGAAATAACACTACCATCGCAGAATGGATCTTGCTTCCATTGTGCATCACCAGTACTGATTTTCTCAAATTACTTGAATTAAAACTTCTGTCACGTTTTTACAAGCCATTTAAGAATAGGATCCATGAAATCTGCAGCCTCCCCATGGTAAAGCTTTTTCTTGTCCAAATATAACATTAAAAAGTTTCCCTGAATATATACCAGTTACAATCTCAAGATAATTAGCAAAGTGGCAACATCACAATTATAACCATAGCAATTATTATCACTACACCCCTTTCTTCTGCTTTCAGAGTTGTGCCTCACTGCTTTGCTTAAAGAAAAAATCTTTAATATCTGGGAGTATAATAAAACTTGTAATGATGAATTCTCCTATATACTCCTGCATGACAGAAGATTCAATCATTTTAATCCTGTAGTTCACAAAGCCCTATTTTGCAATATTTAAATACTAGTTGATTAATAGTTGATGTTTATCAAGTTAATTTGATTTTTTTTAACCAACTGAAGTTTATTTCTAAAGTTCACTTCCACCTTCGACAGAACTAATTAAATAATAATAAAATTAAAAAAAAAAAAAGATAAAGACTGCAATAAATCTATAGTTCAATTTCTGTTCAGTTCTCCAAGAAATGTTTTATGACATAAGAATTTGATATACCTCTGGCCTTACTGGATCTTCAATGCCAACAACACAAATGCAAGTCAGATCAGATAAAATGTCATTTTCATTGTCCCAGTCTGGCTCAGGGCTGCTATTGAAGTCTCGGAAAGCAACACAGATAGTTCTCAGTCCATCACAGGCCATTGGTTCAATCACTTTTTTCACCATTTCATCCCGGTCACGTGGTCTGAAGACACGAGGTTCACCAGCTGCATTAAGGATCCTGGAACACCTTTTTTATTTAAGAAAAAAAAAATTAATTGTATATTTGCATGACAGTTGAAAAGTAATTCCTTGTACCAGCTCTTTTCATTCAACATCTTCCTTTTTGACAGCAAGTTTTAAATTTCTATTGAAAATATCTAGATCAAAGAAGATTCACTACTGAAATGTCATCAGATAAAATTTGACTGTAACTTATTATGGAGACACCAAGACCCTGTCCTCCATTACTTCCCTAAAACCCATGTAATTAATAAGCTGAGAACTTACAAAGAAATTGAAAAACCCTTACGTTCCAAATATGTTTATTAAACTAAAGAATGCATTCATAAATTACCAAATGCAGATGAGAAATAAATTAGAAGACCCAATATTTCTGCTAGCCAATGACAAGGAAAATAAGTCAAAGATTTCATCAGGGAAGAGGGAGGGGACTGGACATGGACAGTAACACCTTTACTCTCCTCAAGTGAGTCCTTTTTCTACCCTAGGTAGAAACACCAAAATTCCCAAGTATGTTTTATTACTGTCAGAATGTTTTGTATCGTTAAGATTTTGAAAAAACACAGCAAGAAATCCTTTGAACTTACTTCTTCAGAACAATTTCAGAAGCTCCTTTGCTGTACATTCGGAAACTGCCATCTGGCATTTTAATGACAGTGCTCATTGACTTTCTCACAGAGTTGAATGTGTAAACCTTATAAAGTTTCTCCTCGGGGATGAGGTTCCGAACAGGCTCATAATCTTGTTTCAAATCCAGGACAAACCCTAAGAGGCCACATTCTGTCTTGTTGCCTACCTGGCGAGGCAGGCCACCTTCTTTTTCTGGTGGCTGTAGAGAAGAAAAGATTAGATAGGGATTTCTGTAATGATTAGCAGTATGCAATGCCTTCTACCCAATTAATAACATAGTTACAGTGTACAGTTTAAGATCTAAAACTCTAATTATGGAGTCATGTCTCTTCCATTTTTTTAAAAACTAGCAGAAATTTTAGTGTTATAACAGACTGGAAGCAGTTATGCTCACAACAAGGAAAATGTCTCCAGTCAGATGACTACATTTGGTCTTTTGCATTTCTTTTCTTTTAAATCAACCATGGGCAGTTGAATTTCTTATAGCTAGGCAAAACATCATTAAAAATGAAATAATTGTCTTTAGGCTCAATATAATTAATACTTACTCATCACAAATAGGATATTTTATATTCTTACTTGCTTAGAATTGAATTGTTTTGCTGACTTCTATGGGTTTAACGGCAAATTAAAAAAAAAAAAAAAGTCCTTTTTATCTACCAGGCAGTTTTGAATTAATAAAGTAAAATAAAGTAAAATAAAGTAAAATAAAGTAAAATAAAGTAAAATAAAGTAAAGTAAAGTAAAGTAAAGTAAAGTAAAGTAAAGTAAAGTAAAGTAAAGTAAAGTAAAGTAAAGTAAAGTAAAGTAAAGTAAAGTAAAGTAAAGTAAAATAAAGTAAAATAAAGTAAAATAAAATAAAATAAAGTAAAATAAAGTAAAATAAAATAAAATAAAATAAATCAATCTGCATCTTAATCATAATAGTAAACCTACATGAAAATGGCATTTCCAACAATGTAAAAAATAATAATCCTGCTGCTAAAAGCACCTGTTTCTAGGATCACCATATTTTAGTCAGCTGCTTCAGACATTAAATGTTATATATGTTTTTATACATATATATATGTTATATACATATATATATATGTTATATATGCTTTATATGTTAAAAAAAAAAAAAAAGGAGTAGTTAATCATTTTGTAATTCTTGTTACTTCTAGGGACAAGGACAGCTCTATCTTCCCATTTGAAATATAAATAAAAACAAAAAACAGCCACATTTCACACACACACACAAAATAGAAGTGTAATATACCCCAAATCAAAAATTCCTGTGTTGTCAAGATTCCAAACAGATTTAAGGGTCCCATGCATGAACAATACTGTTAATAACTTACATTTTCTTGTACATATTAGAATTAGAGAATGTTTTTTTTTAAGCTATGGAAACCAAGAGAAGGAAAAATCCTTTCACAACTTTAATTTGCAAAGTATCATACCACCGAAAACATTTGCATTTGACTCAAGACAAGGCTGTAAGTCATTGGTTTAAATGTCACAAACATTTTGCAGAATTAGGGCTGCAGGAATACATTCAGAATTATGTCCATGTTTTCACCATAGACTTCTAAATCTACCCTACTTGGGAAATACCTGAGGGATGAGGGGTAATGTAAGGTGATTAATTGAAATTACAAATCTCTAATCCCACTTAGGTTTGAATTCTTGCAATGAGTGCTGCCATAAAAGAGGGAAAGAGGAATTTTACGTAAGTATTAGTAAGTATCCCAGAGAGTAACCCTTTGCAGCTGGTTTAAAAATGAAGGACTGATAGAAGATATTAATAGACTTGTCTAGAACTGAAGTAAGCAAAATGAAAGGCAGAATTTCCATAAGAATCATTTTTCTTTCACCAGAAAAATTTATACTCAGACAGATTAACAGGATTTCCTTTTCAGAGAGAGATGCATCTATGGTGAGCAGTACACAATAATCTAGAAATATTATAAGAGAGTTATCCTTCCATAACTCATTGTAACAGTCTCTAGCTTCTACATAAACAATCATCTGACCCAGTTATATGGGTAAGATTCGTGTTGCTATGACATTTTAGCATTATTCCAGGCTCAAATTAAAACACTTGCACTTAGAAAGCATAGCAAAATGATATATTAAATTTATTATATACTATAATAACTTGTCCTGCTGTAATCCCATTATAGTGTGATACAACTGCCTTCTGGATTCTTAAATTCACTTAAGGATCCCTGCCTTACAACCCAATAACTTGTAGTTATATGATCTCTAAGGACTGTTAAATTCAGTAGATATACAAATTTCAGGTAGGAGTCAATAAAATACCATTTCGTTTAAAATAATTGGTTAATTTTCATGACATTGCCGCACACAGTTCTTGAAATGTGCTAAGAACTTGTTTTTTTTTCAAAGCAGCAGATTAATCAACTTCACTGCCTAGATAGCAATGCAGAAAACGACTTATTTCATATCAAACTTCCTCTTTTAGCTCTAAATCCCTATTTATGTTGCCTCTCTCTGCCACTGAAGACAATGAATCTCAACATTGACTTAAACGTGAATGTGATTAAGACACTAGCAAATGCACACTGGAACCCAATGAAATAGATACAGATTTCTTTCCATCACAGACACAGAATATTAGATAACTGCTATTTCTTATGCATATGATTTCATCATGAGCAACTGTGAATATATACTGACAAAATAAAAATCTACCTACATTTGACAGTGTTTAAACCTAGAGACCTTCTAAAATTCATTTTTTATTTAACCGTAAAGTAGATCACACTTTCCTTCTCTTAGAGTGGTCTAAAAATAGACTTCTTTTAGTGACCATCTTTTGAATTCAAATACGTAAGCAAGGGGAAAAAATACCAGTGAAAAAATGAATAGATATTTCAGAAAGGTTTTGAAATCTGCTAACAAGTGGCCACCTCCCTCTAGAGCAGCTGCTGTCTCCATACTCTTTGTACATTACATTAAAATAAAACATATGGTGGTGAGAGCTGGCAAGCACCACTTCCTTCCCTGTACTGTTTCAGCTCAAAATCTATATGCCAAAACTAGTTTCCTTGCAGATTGCTCTTGACAACCCTTCACAGAAGCTGCTGGCTGTTAAAACTTTGTACTGTGCTGTATCTACATTTATTGTTTGCTGAAACCTGCAGTTTATGGCACCTGGAACACAATTAAAAGGATTGTACAAAGGGGCTACTTTTGAATAATTAACTATGAATTACTTAATTGACTTGGTGAATGAAAACGCTTTGACACTGTAGGAGAGAAAGCCTCTGAACTGTGATGTGCTAAAAGAAACTTTTGAATGCATTGTTTCTCAAGAGCTCAGTGAAAGGTCTTTTGCTAGTCACAAGATAATCTTGTACTGGGAAGGGACTGATCCAACATACTCCTCCAATAAGTACTTCCCACTGATAATTGTATAATAATTTTGTTTCTTTCAAGTCTTTACATTATTTACATGATAATAATATTTCAATTGTAAGTAAATACTTTCATGTAAAACAAGTGCAAGCAGATGTAAAATAAATAGTTTTTATAACTATCAAATCAAAATAGGTTTCTAGGTCAAAGTACAGCAGTATTATTCAGGTTTAAAAATACCAACCCCAAAAGCTAATATTGACTTAATACTGAATTTGGATTACAAAATAAATTTTCAAAATGCTTTCAATGGAAATTAACTTGCTAGTAAAGACAGGTTAAGAGGAAAGCAAGATAAAACTGTGGGCATAGTTTACGGAGGTTCCTCAAGTTTTAAAAATACATTAGGAAATTATAAGGCTTCCATTTAACCATAACATTCACTAAACTTAATTTTCCTTATTGCCATTTTTGATGTAAGAGGAGAGAAACTGGCAAGAAGATCCGAGTAGTCTTTACAAAACAAAGTGTTAAGGTTTCATACATTATATGAAGTTGTCATTTGTTTCATGTTATGTTTTTGTGTTCCAGAATGATGATGACTGTAAATGTATTGATTTTATTAAGATAATTAGCTTTGCTAGATTATATCCATATTGAATGCTCCATTTCAAGTCCATTTACAAGAGGCAAACAGATGAAAATACATTTTTCAAATTAAATTGTGAAAAAAATCCACTTTATATTTTATTTACAGAGTCACATAATGGTTGAGGTTGGAAGGGGCCTCTGGAGGTCATTTTGTCCAACCGCCCTGCTCAAGCAGGGCCACCTTCAGCTGCTGGCCCAGGGCCACGTCCAGGCAGCTTTTGAAGATGTACACGGAGGAGACTCCACAACCTCTATGGGCAGCCTGTGCCAGAGCTCCATTACCTGACAGCACAGAAGTGCTTCCTGACCTTTAGATGGAGCTTCCTGTGTTCCAGTTTGTGCCCATTGCCTCTTGTCTTGGCACCGGGCATGACTGACAAAATCCTGGCCCCATCCTCCTTGCCCTCTCCATTCGTAGACATTGGAGAAATCCTCCCGAGCCTCCTCTTCCTCAGGCTGAACAGTCCCAGCTCTCTCAGCCTCCCCTCAGAGGAGAGGTGTTCCAGTATCTTAATCATCTTTGTGTACCTTCCTTGGACTCTCCCCAGTGGCAAAACCTCTCTTATACTTGGGTGGCCAGCACTGGACACAGCACCGCAGGTGTGGTGTCACCAGTGCCAAGTAGAGGGGAAGGATCGCCTCCCTCAACCTGCTGGCAATACTACAGCCCACAATACCTTTAGCTTTCTTTGCTGCAAGACTTCATACCAAGTATAATCCAGACTCTGGATACCAAATAAAGCAAATTCATTTGCAGTATCTTCTCTTTCCTTCTATACTGCCTGTTCACAGAGTATTTATTGTTCTCTAGCTTCATCACTTCTGCGTAACTACACAGAAATGTAAAGATAAAGTTTGTCTTGGAAGAGGCTGGTTTTTATGTGCAAAGATTCTCTTACAGATTTTTTTTTCCACTTCTCTTTATTGTTTTGAAAGGTTATTTAATAATCTTATCTGACTTTTCTCTTCCCAGACAATACCGTGGAACTGGTTTTAATTGAACTTCTGCTTACATTATAGTTTCATCTCTATCTCAGTACCATAACATACTTCTGGCTTTCTAGGCAGACCACAGCTGACATATTAATTATCTACATGACTAAGATAATATTATTTTAACCAAGTGCAAACATTTTATTAGAATTCTTGAAAGATCCTTTTTATAGATTAAAGCAAACAGCATCC